GAGCTAGGAAAAGTTCGGGAATCATGGCCGCATAGAACTCTCGAACAAGCTCAGGGTGATAGCTCGTTGGACTGCTAGTATAACGATCCCATCCACGGGCACTGACCGTGTCAGGAATCGGGGTTTGGCCAAGATCGGGAAGCGCCATACCCCGCTCAGTCCAAATTGTTCGATTATCACTTGCCTCGAGTCTCTCTTTATAGTCTTTGTGTGGTGCACGCGCTAAGGCTTGCTTTTCCTTGTTAGGGAGCCGGGCATACTTTTTATAGCAATCCATCGTCGGGTTTTTGTTGCGCACAATGATAAAAAATCTGCAAGGAAAAACAGGAGAACTAAGGGTTTGTTTCTTAGCAGCTTAATGAGCTTAACGGGACTCACGACTTATTGGGTTAACTGTACATGATTGTTTGGTAGGGCTTAATGATTTAAAAAGTGGCTTATTCAATAAGCTTCTTTGGGGGAGCTTTATGCCAAGTTTTTCTAAACATGCCCCTCCTAATAAAAAAACATGCTCCTTTCATCCATGAAAAAACTCTCCCAAACAAGTACCTTCTGATCTATATACACAGATTACTCACACGGGCAGCTTTATCCATACAAGGATTAATGGAAACCCAACCAAACATCCCCTAAGCCACAAATAACTGGTTATAATATGTCAGAATGTATCTAGATAATGCCAACATTGATATGTAGGGGCGAATCGACTTGTAAAGAACCGGTGGCAGAAGCTATTACTAATATATTCGTCATAGTGTAAAAGCTTTTTACGACTCTTTAACGATGCTACCATTGTGATTCGTTTTGTGTTACCACTGTATCATCACCAGGAAATTGACAGGCTACATTAGCATATCGAAGCTTAAATTTGAGTTTTAATGGTTAATAATGATGGAACACAAGGTAACCTAATTGTAAATCATTGAAAATGGAATTGATTCCTATGTGTTTTATATTGAAATTTGTAACTATAATTAATTTTTATTTATTTTATATTACCATAATTAATTATTACTCCGCCGATAAAAATTTGGATCCGTCTCTGCTGATATGAGTTTTAAATGGGTTGATGGAAAAAAAACATGTAAAACAAATACATGCTAAAGTGAGAATTACATTAACAACAATAATCTTCTGACAACTTTATTGGCATTCTTTTGTTAAGTAGTGACATGCTAAAACCTGCCGAAAGGTCAAGAAACGTGTCTGAAGATCATTTAACCAAATTATCATCTAAACCCCCAACACTGAGCATGTCCACAACTAAAACTAGCATAGAAATATTGGCAAAATGAGTTCATAAGCAACTGAACTCAATATAAGTAGACTTAGGGGTCAATTACTAAATGTTTATCGGTAAGCGCTTACCAGCAAGAGTCACCACCACCCAGGGTGGTCCACCCTCACTTATCTTATCTTGTAACATTCTTAGCCATCAAAATGGATTGTTGGTGTGCATCTTTTAGCCGGTAAAACACTAATCGAGTAGGAGCCTTCTATCTCACTTACCAACTAAGATTCTCGGTTCTTGCTATATTTCTTACGGGGTAAGATTCTATGCCTTCGTCATGTTCCCCTGGTAAGGTAAGTGACACCTGGTAATTGTTCAATGAACGGGATGTCGTTTACAAAATGCTTACCAGGTTACGTTCTTTACCGATTGAGTATGTTACTACAAGAACACGCATCACTATCTGACAGCACGAACACTAACAACATTAGTAAAATTCTTCCAAAAATTCAACAATGTGGGTAAAACGAGGCATTAAAAGCATGTAAAATTGGTTGTCAAACACTATCAAGCACAAAGGTACAAATTCATCGAGTAATACAAAAAATATGAACTCTGCTTCAAATCTCACAACAGAAATATTCTCGATCATGCTTCAGAACAATAAATGATAGTTCTACATGCAATTTTTAGTCAACAGATGCAAAATAGTTCGAGCAACTACCAAACGATTTAATGATCAACGATCAAATAAGGTACAAGTTCATAAAGCATGGAACACAAGGATTTTACCCTAAAACCTTAGAAAATCTTAACAACGGAGGAAAATAAAGCAGTAAACAGGATAAAATACTTACTTGGTGGACGAAATTACAAAGGGAATTGGGAGAATTTGGAAGGAATTTCGGTAGCTGCTGAAAATAGAGAGGAATATGTGCGTATGCGGTTGGGGTTCGCGAACTAGGGTTTTAAACCCAAAAGGGTCGTACGCGATCCGTTCTACGCGATTTGAACAACAATGCTTTGATTAACGGTACGTGTACCTGATTTTTGAAGCCCGGTTAATCTTGAGTCTGAACGATGGACGGTTGTGATTTAACGGGTTTCAGCTTTGGGTTGCTTTTGTTGCAGAAGGCGTGTACAATGTCAATTCCATGCGACTGATCTCAAATGTATCTTTTTTCTATTTAAGGGAAAAGTTTAAAACATAACTACTTTTTATATTTTAAATGATTAAGGCATCGTTTACTAAACACTTATTCGGTAAACATTTATTGGTAAATTTAACATTATCATTTATTTATTGGGTAAGATTTTAGTCAACTAAAACAGTATCGTGCACAACAATTTACCTGGTAAGCGTTTACCATGGTATGAGTCGTCGTTCTCACTTATCGGGTAAGACTTTTGGTCTTTGTCTCGCTCTTATCGGGTAAGACTTTTGGTCTTTGTCTCGCTCTTATCGGGTAAGATTTATTGTCCTTATCATATTCATCCAGTAAGGTAATGTTACTTAATGTTCACTTACCCGGGTAAACGTTTGGTAAACAGCTCCTAAAATTTTTAAATAATTAAATTTCTGAACATGTTTTTAATAAATCAACTATCAAACTCTTAAAAAATATTGTTCTTAAACCCTATGCAATTCAAACTCATTCCACACAAAGACATCGCTCTCCCTCACCACTCTCATCCCTGTCTAATTGTTGTTTGTTCTTTATACTGCTATTATTATTATTATTGGTTCATGTCATCGATTTCCCTTTTTTATCTTTCAATTATACATCTTATAACAATTTATTGGAGCACTTATAAACCTATCAAAAGAATAAGGGAATCGAAAAACAAAAAAAAAGCTAAAAAAAGAGTAAGATCGATGGTAGGGGTCAACAACAGTGATTAGTGGTGATAGATAGCAGATGTCAATGAGGTGACGGGCGGCGAGGGGTTTAAATGACGTAGGATTTAGAAACGATAAAATTGATTTCGGTTTTTTTAGTTTTAAAACCTTCATTGCCGTGTGTTTCATGTAGATTTTTGGATCAAAATGATGTAAGTCATGAGTTTTGGAAGTCAGATAGTTTATTTATTTACAAAACAAAGTTCATGAACTTAATTGTTCAAAATGCGAAGGTTCGTTGAGTTTTAAACTTTTCCCTTTTTTATTATATTTTGATCTCAATTTTTTTTTAAGAAAATGTATCATGTTCTTTGCTTTTTTATCAATGTGTTACTATATAGCCCCGTATTTATGTCATAATCAAATCAATTCATGTATTAAAAATGTAAAACTAAGTTTAATAAGTAGGGGTGTATAGCAATACGTAGGTATGCATTTGGCCTAACCGTTTTGATCATCCACACAGACAAAACGTGTATTTTGAAAGTTTCATTTATATATTAGTTAACAAATATTATAAAATGTTTATAAAGTTTTTGATTCAAACGAGATTACGAGAACAATGTCAAAATAAGCACGAGAACAGTCATATCACATGTGATTGTATACTAAAATCACATGTGATTACGACACGTCTTTAGCTGGAGCTAGGGTCGTAGGTCAATTCTCCCGCACACCCTCATGTGAGGTGTGTGTGTGTCTGGTACAAAGTGCGGAAATGAGCGTAGACCTTTAGAGCAAGGTCCGGTTTTGCCTGAATCAAAAGGGAGTTGTGGTGACATTAAACCAATGATGATTAATATCGTGAGTCATTTTATGAGCTTATACATAAGTACATGAGTTTATTGAGTGTTATTGTAGATTAGTACATGTATGACACCTTATTGTTAAAAGCTTTAATATTGCTATGATATATCATGATGGATGTATAATTAAATCATGAACTTGCTTATTTTACTTTCGATCAAAGACCAACGGTCAGGGGGGGAGGCATAATCAATCGTTAGTTGATTGACGTCAAGAGGTTGTGTCGTCGGTTGAGTGGCTAAGGATGAAGCTTCATTGGTAAGAGACTTTCACCAAGAACGAGCACAAGAATGATGATGAGATGGATGGTTATTGGAGATTAGGACAAGGGCAAAATTGGGAATAAATATAGGCTGAACGCATAAAGATAGGACATAACGACTGCTATCAAACGTTTACCAATAAGAGTCACTACTCTCACTTATCTTATGGAGTAATAATTTGGACCATGAAAATGAATTGTTGATAATGTCTACCAACCAATAAATATTTATATGGTAAGAGTCACCACCCTTACTTACAAGGTAAGACTTCTGATCATTGTCTTGAATCTTACCAGGTAAGATCCTCAATCGTTGTTATGTTCATCTATTAAACTTTTATTCTGCAAATATTTGATAAACTGCTCCTTAATATTAAAACAAAAAATAAACAATAAGAAATTATTTATTTATTTATAAGATTAAAAAATATGAAATTTTATGGGGTGGGCTAAATGCACCCCTATGCATTGCTTAATGCACCCCTATCCATGAATTTCTCCCTCACACACATCAACATCAATACATGTTTTTTACATTCCCAATGTTTGAATGACCCGATTCTGACATGAAAAGGGGTGCCATTAGCACTCCCCAATTTTATTCATTTTGTTTTTATTTGTGAATGATTCAGATTTTCAATGTTTGCTTGTCCACCAATCGGAAGGAAAAAAGTGGCAGTGAAAGTCACATAAAGTGGTCTCACTTTTTAATTGAAGTACAACAAAACATGCACAAGGTACAACCATTCGAAGCAGGAGATGGGTTGAATATTGAATATTCAAGAACAGACACGTGTGAAGGAGGGAATCTGGTGGTGAAAGCATGACCACATTCTTCCGCCATTGTTTTCTTCTACACCTCCTTACGAAAACCTCAAAACGACGACTAAACCCTTCATCTTTCTCTCTTCAGAGTTGGGGATTTTCTCTCTAACTAACATGTCGATGGAAGGAGAAGCTCAGATTGACCGGCTTCCGATGGACCTGCTTGCTCATATCTTCGTTTTCATCACTTGCTTCAAGGATTTGGCTCAGTATGTTTTTGAATTATGATCATCTAGTTTTACAATTTAGCTCTTTGATTATTGTGATTTCAATTGTTTTTTTTTCGTTTGTTAGTCTGTATATGTGAATTATGAATTGCTTTCATTACTTGCTTCTAGGATTTGACTCGGTATGTTTATGAACTATGATCATACGGTTTTGCAATTGCTTTTTTGTTTGTTAGTTTGTGTGTTTACTTTGTGTATGTGAATTGTGAAGGGCGAGCAGTGTGTGTAGAAAATGGAGGGAAGGTGTGAAGCAATCTACGGGGAGGAGGGAGAGATTGAGTTTTGCAGGTTGGAAGATGAACGATGAATCTACTTCTCGTATTGTTCGTCATGCTTACGCTCTCAAAGAGCTTGACATGTACGTCTTCGATTCATTCCCCTTTTCATCTGTTCTCCTTACGCTGTTTATGCGTTTGATTTCCAATTCCGAAGAATCCTGCATATTGTTATATTAGATTCTTCGAGATAAATCTGTAACCATGTTAGTTGAATGCTTGGATCCACAAGAATCCTTAGATTTTAATGTTGATGCATAAACTAGTAATCGTTAAATGCAAAATTGATATGGAATTTGGTTCAAGTATTGTTTTCCTTCCCTAATTTCTACTTGTTATATAGTTAGAAGTAGTCAGAAGTATTTTTGTGGGAAGAACATTCATGTGTTCTGAAGATAAAATACATTCCAATTTACACCCAAAACGAAATCATTCCTCAATTTTCTGGAATCTGGTAGAATGGTTTAAGTTCAAGCGTTAGACATGAATACATCGAATCATTTGAAGCTCCTTTTGTAGGAACAAATTCAAATCACAAAGTGGATTAGTGTTTGATGTTTTTGTGTCTTTTGAGTTCTAAGAAAACAAAGGGTTTTCATTAGGATCAATAAGATCTTGTACAGACTTTTGGTGTTTTGCCCTGTTGTCTTGGTTTGTCAGGTATTTGCTCTGTGTTACAGTTCTTTTTGTTGTGGTTTCAGCTCAAAAAGTCGATGGGGTTGCCAAATAACCGATAATGGATTGTACCAGATATCAACGGCAAAATGCGTCATCAATCTTTCTTCGATATCCTTATGGGGTATGACAGGAATCACAGACAAGGGTGCTGTCCAACTGGTATGAGATCAAAACTTCCAATACACATTTTTTCCGACATCAAGAGTCTTGGGCTTCACTAGGCAAAACTATTTAAGGGATCATTACCTTTTCTTTAAGTTGTTAGACGTGTAGTGTTCGTAAATAACATATGAATCGGAGCCTCTACTTTATCATAAACCGGTTTATATGGCTATTTTGGATACTCCAATTTGCATACAAGATTTTCATCATATCTAGATCTATGTTCCATCATCAGCAATAAGTTAATGTTGTCGTAATATGTGGAATCCCATCGGATTAGATCCAACACGCCTCCTCAAACGGAGGCTGGATGGGCACTTATTGTCCCAAAATTGTTGAGTCCCCTGACCGGTAGAATTTGACTTTGATACCATTTGAGAATAGGTAGAACACATTAGATGACTCTCCAAAAGAGCCTTTTAGAAGATAGGAAGGTTCCAACATATATTGAGAAAAAATGATCCAAGTATAGCTGATGTGGGACTCCAACTCTCTTTTATTCCAAGTGAAAACTTTGTGCTATTATCCATCATGTATGTGTAAGATTCTCCCTATTTGCCATATTGAAGGCATTGTTCCACAACACCAGAAATTAAACTTCTAGTTTATCAGATTTATTGCCTTTATGAACCATTTGAAGCCTAATTCTTAAATCTTTGGTGAAAGAACAATAAAACATCAACATGGTTCGGAATTTTCGTGATCTAAGATAAGGTCGTTAAAGGCTCTCCTATTATTAGAAGATCTCGGACTTAATCCTTTGATTGCGTCTTTTCTCAATGATTTTTCCTACAGATTTCAAGGGCCAATTCTTTGCAACACCTGAATATTGGAGGTACATTCATAACAGATGAATCTTTGTTCGCAATTGCTACCAGCTGCCCGCATCTGAAGGTTGGTTCATGTCGTTTTTCGTGATTCAGTCAAGTTATTTCATAAAAAATCGATTTTCAGACATTTTGTTGCCCCTTCTTTTTCAAAATTCCAGACTGCCATATTATGGGGATGCCGTCATGTGACCGAAAATGGACTTCTAGTTCTTGTAAATAACTGTAAGAAACTGGAGTCGATCAACGTATGGGGAATGAGAGTAGCTCGAGATTCCTTCATCGCCCTGCTCACCATTCGTCCAGCTCTTCAGATCGTACCCCAATCACTCCTCAATATCGAAAACGTTCCTTTGTTGCCTGTTTTTTGAGGTGATCACATTATTTATTTGTAAGATTTGTATGCATTGTCTACGATCCCCCTTTCAATCATTCGATCAAAAATTTGTACAGATTGTCTTCATTCTATGTAATTTATCGACGCAATAAACTAGACTCTTCGCAAAAAGAATCCGTTTGTAAGCCGTTCTTCATATTTTGCTTCGTGGCCTCCGAGAATACAAGTGGTTCGTTTTCATTCTATACGAAATTAAAGATTTCGTTTGTGTTCTTGTCGGCAAGATGGAACGGATACCGTGTATGATGAAAACTCGTTTATAAGGTAAAATCGGTACAAAATAGAAAAAAATTAAATGTTTGTTACATTAGAAAAGCTCATTATTACACTAAATAAAAATAAAAGCAAATTTTGTTACATTTTAATGTCGTAAATAGGGTAACTATATGAATAAAGGCATAAAAAAATCGAAACAGAATAACCTACCCAAAACAAATGAGGTTCAAGCTAAATGGTTTTCGCCTTTTTAGGTTAAACGGCTCGGTTATCCGAGTGACAAAATAAAGATACTTTATCTTGTTTGATTTTTGGTTAGTTTTTTTACGGTTTTTTGGTTTATAACGTCTTTTTTCCTTTATGTATGATATGGTTGAAGATAATATTTTTTACTTGATACTAATTCAAAATTCTCGAACATAAATGTATGATACAATTATACACAGAGAACAATGGACATTGAAATTTCAAACTTCATCAAATGTAAAGAAGACGTGTAAGCTTATTTGTTCTATTTGTCATATAGAATTATTATATACTTCAAAAAGAAAGACAATGAACATTGAAATTCAAAAAAAACAAAAAAGAGTTGATTTGATGTTTTATCTTACATATAATCAATAACTAAAATATAACTTAACAACTTAAGATTTACATAAAAATAAAAGATTAAACATTTGAAAAAAGAAATTTATCATTACATTCAATAATAATTAAGAGGTAATTTGACAGTTGTTGAATGGTTTGGTACATGATTCAGAATGATTATGAAACTCTTATGATATAGTAAAAATAAAACATAGTTGTTTGATAATTCTTCAGATATAAATTAAAACGTTGAATGGTTTAAGACACTATTAAAAGGTAAATAAATAGACTCTAATGTAAAAAGCTTTTTTTTTTTTTTTCTTTTCGAAATTTCACATAATTACGTTATTATTATTTTTTGAAATTTCAAAGAAGCATATTGCATTATTAAATCTAATTCTTTTCGGGGGGTTTACACTTGTTAGGTTAAAAGGTGAAATCGCCTCTCTGGCTACCATAACCGTCTTTGGTCTCGACGAACTATCGTTACAGTGTGACCATCTCCGGTCATCTCTTCCGCCTCTCAGTTCTAGCTCTCCGCTTCTCAACGACGGAGACTCCCTCTCTTCTCAGGTTAGAGGATTTCGATTTTGAGTATATTTCAAACTTCGATTTTGTTCGTTTGAATCAGTTGAGATTTACTTTCCTCATTTGACTTATTGGATGATTGTTTGTTTGATTTTGTGTTACAGTGAATGAACTTCTCTGATTGATTTTGTATCATGTTTCACTGTAATTTGTCACTCTTCTGGCCTCTGTTTCACGTAAACTTTGTGTAAACCCTAATGCAGAAGCCAAAAATCAAACGTACACTACAACAAGTCGGATTTATAGGAAACTAAAAGTTCTTAAATGTTCTAATAGATTACTTTTAAGTTTATGGTACCAAACACATTTTTTAAGATTGCTCTAGTAACTTCATAGGCCTAACAAGACATTTTGTTTCGGAAATGTCCTAAAAGCGTGCTATAAGCTTATTCTTACAAGACTTTTAGACAGAATATACGAGTGTTTGATCCCATAAAACTAAGTGTATTCTATTAGTACACTCGGACATTTTTGGTATCCTATAAACACAAATGTGTTGCAGTGATAGCGGGGGTGGAAACTTGGATTAGGGTTGGGGAGGAAATCTGTTTTGGCTCTCTATTGAGTACCATTGCATTATTTTATTCATTTGTAATGCTAAACTTATAAATACATCTTGTTGGAGCAGTTGTTTTGAAAAATCATCTGTTAAAGACTGCTAAATCTATCTTTATAGTTTAAATTTGCAGCCAACTTTTCTGTGGGTATGGCTAAGATTAGTGAGAAAATAACACAACTAGGGTGGTTTTATGGATCTTCTTTGACAAAAACCTTTACAGGGACGTCCGTCATTCCTGTGTTCAAAACCACCATTAATTTAAAGAACCCGCTATTCCGCTTTCCAAGAACTCAAGTATTACACCGGCGTTGCAGTTCAATGTCGAAAACTAATGGAACTTTATTGGCAAATCCACCTCTTGTGGTGCGGGAAACCATCGATCTAACGGATAAAGAGAAGAAGATATTCGATCGTTTGCTTCAAGTTCTCTCTCATTTTAATCTCGAAACCCAACTTCGTGTTGCTGGTGGGTGGGTACGTGATAAGCTTTTAGGGAAGGAGTGTTATGATATCGATATTGCTCTTGATAATATGTTGGGAAGAGAGTTTTGTGAAAAGGTAAATGAGTACTTGATATCTGCGGGAGAAGAAACACAGGGAATTGGCGTTATCCAAAGCAACCCGGACCAATCGAAGCATTTGGAAACAGCGAGGATGCGTCTCTTTGATGTTTGGATTGATTTTGTGAACTTAAGATCCGAAGACTACGCTGAAAACAGCAGAATTCCAACTATGCAATTTGGTTCTGCAGAACAGGATGCGTATCGAAGGGATCTGACCATTAACAGCTTGTTTTATAACATTAATACATGTTTAGTTGAAGATTTTACAGGGAGAGGGCTAGATGATTTGAAAAGCGGAAAAATCGTGACCCCTTTACCCCCAAAAGAGACGTTTTTGGATGATCCATTGAGAGTTCTGAGAGCAATTCGTTTTAGCGCCAGATTTGAGTTTGAAATGGTTGAAGAACTGAAGGTTGCAGCTAAAGAAAACGACGTGAAATCTGCCATTTCTGATAAAATTAGCAGAGAGCGAATCGGACATGAGGTTGATCTTATGGTAAGTGGGAATCAGCCGGCTAAAGCCATGGCTTACATTTCTGAGCTCGGATTGCTTTGGGTCGTTTTCACGCCACCCCCAAGTTGCGAACCACCAATCTCAAAAGAACTTGATGGGGTTTGTGTCGGATATATGGATGCGGCATGGAGACTAATGAACGAAATAGGACGTATTCTCAGTGACGAACAAAGAAGGCTCTATTTGTATGCATCTTTGTTTCTTCCACTTAGAAAGACTGTTTATAAAGATACCAAAAAGAAGATTTTACCCGTTTCGAACCACATCTTTAGAAACTCGCTAAAACTGAAAGCAAGCGATGCTGATGACGTCATGAGGCTGCACAACGCAGTCGAGAAATTCTTAATTTTGATCCCTTTTGTGTTGTCAAATGAAGAAGATATGCAAATTTCTGAAATCAATTGGGAAACAGATATGATTGATGTTCCTGTGAATCTGAAACCAAGAATCTTGTTGGGTTTGCTTCTAAGGGAAATCAAAGATTTCTGGAAGGTTGCTTTGATGATCTCCACTCTTTTATACAAGAAATCTTCTGGTGAGCAAGAAATCTTGAAACTAGAGGAGAATAGGGATTTGTTCATGGAGGTTGAGCAAAAAATCTTGAAATTAGACCTGGAGAAGATCTGGGAAATGAAACCTTTGATTAATGGGAAGGAGATAATGAGGCTTTTGGAGCTTGAAAAAGGAGGTCCGGTTGTTAGTGAATGGCAGCGGAAACTGGTACAGTGGCAGCTCGCGTATCCTTCGGGTGGTGCGGAGGAAAGCGTTGATTGGATGATGAGGGAAACGCGGTTGAAGCGCACTAGAACGTAAGAGACCAGAAGACCATTTGTAGCTGTTTTCTGCTGGTGAGTAGATTGATGGTTATACAGGCTTATTTAGAATCAATTTTCACCATCTAAAAATGCATAGAATCATAGATTGTTTTACTCTCTTTGGGTCATGTATGTTTTTGAGTATGGTTTTCTTGAAAATTTTGGATGGAATTGAAGGTTATTATGGAATGGTTTGTGTAGGTTGGCGAATATGACATGGGAATGTAGATCAAAGATGATAACTAAGGGTTGTTTTATTGGTTTTCCATAAGTCCGGTATGGATAAAACTTTCTGTATGAATTCATCTGTTTGTATAGATTGAGAAATGTTTTGTTTAAGAAAACTTTTTATAGAGAGAAGGTGCATGGTTTTTAATTAGAGGGGCAAGTTTAAAAAAAAAACTTGGTTTTCTACATAAAACTTGTCTTTAGGGGCTGTTTGGCAGTTGCTGAATGGTTTGATATACAATAATTAAGTGGTCAAAATATTAAAAGGCTCTTATGATATAATGCAAAATGAAATATAATTATTCGATAATTGTTTACAACGAAATTAGGGTGCTAAATGGTTAAACAAGGATTTTAGAATCATTAGAGGGTTTTAGAATCATTAAGATGTATGTATTTTTTTGCCAAACAAGGATTCTCACCCTCTTAATGATTCAGAGACTGTCTCTTAATGAAACTATTAAGAGGTATACAAACAATCCCTTAAAAGCTTACTGAATAAACCATTTTTTCTGTCATTAAACTACTACAAAAAATATATGTAATTTTTTTGTTGTCGAAGATTTTCACCTTTTGAAGCAAACTTTTCTCAGATTCCAAAAAATTTAAAATAACATAACTATTAGAGATACTCTAATATCATCTTGATTAATATACAAGTCATTAAATTGCAAAAAAGAAAGAACCCCTTTCTTTTGAAGAGCAAAATACAATGTTAGATGGTGGTACATTACACTTTAGAATAAAGAAAAACCAACAAGAAAACAGAGAAAACCATGATAACAAGGTCACCTCCCAAATGCTACATCTCAATCTCTCCTACTTGCTCATTGAAAAACCTACACCAAGAGAATGAAAAATGATATCACAATATGTGTAATCCATTTGAATCTCTCTGTAAAGAGACCCCTTGTACAAATAGCATAGGTTCCTAGATCTATATACTGGTCTAATAGTCTGTGTCTAGCAGATATGAGACTCCAAAAAAGTTACCAGGGTGCAAGTACATTTGTAACCCTTTTGAAAGAGCCCTTTTAGAGATAAAGAAAGGTTCCTAGATATCTACAAGTTTAATAGTCCGTGTCTAGGAAATATGAGACTCCAAGAAAGAAATATGATCAGGGTGTCCGAATATCTGTAACCCCTTTGAATCTTTACAGAGATAAAGCGAGGTTCCTACATATATACAAGTTTAATAATCCGTGTCGAGCAAATATGAGACTCCAAGAAAGAAATATGATCAGGGTGTCAAGGTATTTGTAACCCCTTCGAATTTCTCTTAAAAAGCCCTTATAGAGACAAGAGAGGTTCCTAGATATATATATATACAAGTTTGATAGTTCTTGTCTAACAAATACGGGACTCAAAGAAAGAACAATGATCAGGTTGTGAGGATAAGAGTAACCCCTTTGAATCTTTCTTTAAAAATGCCCTTATCGAGATAAAAAGAGAGGTTCCTAGATATATGTTATATACAAGTTTAATATTCCATGTCTAGCAGATATGAGACTCCAATAACAAAGAGATTTAACGAATTCATGTTAATTTCGAAGTTGTAAGCTAGTTTATTTGGCCTCAAGAACTCATTCTATGTCAAAGGAGTATTGAGATGCACTTCACCACATGATTTATAAAGCCACGAGATGAATTAAACATACCAGAATAATGCGCCGATATTGCCTCAAACCATTAGCCATATTCTTGATCTCAAACTTGCACACACAGCTCCCAAATAGAAAAAACTTGCTCGAGACGTTATCCAGCCACCACTGCTTGACCTATCACCGTGTGAGTGGGCGTGAAGTATACCTAGTCTAAGTTTTAACTTAATATTATAACATACAAGAGCCAAGCCTCAATGAAGTCGCGCTTATCTTCACCTATGATATTTATATCTAGTTCAAATTAAGTACCGATAATATCAGGAAAACATGAAATCCATAAATGACCAACAGACTTGTAAGATCTATTCGCGAAGCAGATCCTGTCAACTGGACAGTTCCTGAAAAACTTCCTGAAGGACCCCTTGGCGACGTGGAATTAGATACTGCATTGTTTCTACAAGCTCCAAATGATGCCCCGGTCTGCAAAAATTCCATAACAGAATTTCATAAAGTAAGAATTTTATTGGTAAAAAGGTCTACGTTAGCACCATGTCACCATTATGTTAGTTTTTCTGCAGCAATAAACGAGAATGTTCTTTTTGGTAATTCAGCCGTAAATTGAAAGAACCGAAAAGATAGTCACCAAAACAAAATGAACCCAGTATATCCAACCCGGAGGTGGGGGTCTGAGGATGAGATATGCGCAAACCTATCTCTCTCTTTTTAGATAGATAATAAGACAATGTATTGTTCTTTAGGGTGTGACTGGTATGTGGACAGGACTAGACAAACGAGAGTGAGGTTGGTGGGTGAAAGGATTATGAAAGGTTTCAAGGTTTTTAATTTTACATGGGTAGTTTAGTAATTTACCAATCTTGTCTCATCTCTAAGTTTTGTTCCACCTATTTCGGTGGGATAAAAAAAATGCATTTTTGTCCTACTCAGGTCTGTCCCATCCCGTTCTAATGTCGCGTCAGATGTAAGACAACAAGTTTTTGTATTGTCTTGTCCCATTCTGTCCCGTGTACCACACACACCCTTACAGACCAAAAGATAGTCACCAAGACGTATATTTGTCCTCTAGCGATAGATACGAAGACAAACCTGGCAAGCAGTAACTGAAACACACCCACACAAACTTGGGCCATTCATTCTATCCAAAGCATCAAATACACCTCCTCCATCACTTCTCTGCAGAACTCACAGGTTAGCATGCTAGAACAATTTACCAATTTACCCTTCTATTCAAAGGAAAGTCAGAATACCATGTAGAAATTCACAGCCAAGAAGTTGGGCATCACATTCCCAGCTGCCTTGTAGCAGGTGCCAACCAAATCCATCAATGGAGCTGAATGCTCTTTGCAAGCTTCAGCTTGTACCGGCATAGTTGGGAAATAGTTTTGAAGAAAAAGAGATGTCGTTTTTGAAGTAAGCGGCTTTGATTCTTTTCGATTGGGGCATGAGCCTTGTTCTACTCCAGGATCTCCAGCTGAAATCCCATTTTTCATGAATTTAAGAAGCATAAATGTAATGACACAAAGAAGACAAATAGCATACTCGTATGCATTCTGTAAGAACGTATGATCTACCAAAGGATTATTGGCCCAGCGGTACCTATGAATTACCGGTAGGGCCAACCTCCCACCCAGGGGGTCAAGAGTGTGGTAAACGAGTGTGCGTGAGTATTTGCCGTATATACTTCAAAGAAAAGCCTATGATATTATGATATTTGTTGAATGATTGAGAAATTTGATACTTACGATCATTTTCCACCATGTATCTCCACTGGTAAGCAATACCTTCGGTACCTTCCTTTGAAGAATCAGAAGTGAAAACCAGTAACCTATGATTTTGTTGTGCCATATCGGTCACCGTAGGCCAATCCTCACCCTTTCTTGGCATCTTGGAAACTGGAAACAAGTACTTGTCCAACCCAGCATCCACAAATAGCTTAGTCAACCCTCTAGGAGTATGCACATAATCCTCTATTATAATGGTCACAATCTCAGTCGGGTTTAAACTCAAGAATGCTTCCACTTCCCTCAATGTGTTAATTGCAGGTTGCTAAGCAAAATATACAAGTATTAAGCACATTACAGTATCTATTTTCATGGAACGGAAAGAGTTACTCATGTAGGCATTAACGATTATATGAAGAAAAAAAATGAATACAACAGGAGAAAAGATGATTACAAAGGCGGTAATATTCAAACACTGCCCATGGAATGAGTGGCAGAGCCAGATATCGTTCTCGAAGTCGTACATATCCAACATCAATCCTCTAACGCCATTCTAACACCAGTTGAAACAGACGGAAATTAAGCAAATTTATCAGAATAGTTAATAAAAGAAATTAGCAATAGGACGAAAAAGGGTTCAAACATAAGTGTAGAATCAACAAACGTACTCTTAATTGGTTGGTGACAGTATCTTCTTGATTGTAAAATGTGATCCTCTGAGGACCCGTCAAGAGGGGAGCATCCACAATTGAAAAGGCATTATGGGTTACAAGCCATGTGTATTTGTTGAATGGCAACCCATTAATCTGACCTCCATTGAATACCAAAACCATTGACATTTGAGGTTAAAATTTGAACTTCTCATCAAGAACAGTACAGTAAGAAACACAGAAACTAATAAGCAACAGGAAAAGGTCCAGTTTCTGCTTAAAACTTAAACTAGAAAGAGGAATTAGCATTTGAAACCACTAAAGTTACCACTCTATTTCCAAAAGATAAAAATTCTTGCAAAAAAATGCAAAAATAACACTCAATTTGGTTGAGATCTGCAAACAGAACACTGAATTTGGCAACCAGAATGTTTCAGCCAAATGCAGTACTTCCAATTGGAGTGCCATTTGCGATTACACTCTAATTCGCAGAAAAATGCAAACAGACCACGCCAATCGGCAACTACAGGGTTGTTTTCGCAATTTTCTAGCCAACTCGAGCATTTGTTTCACGATCTTGCTCCAATTGGACTGTTGTCTCTTGCATTTTCACAAAGTGCTGTGACTGGTTACATTCAAAATGCATATGATTCAGAAATGCTAGTCACTCAAAAAATAGAATGTGTGTGAAAACATCATCCACATCCTCAAGTTTCCCACTCCGAACAAAATTAGCAGAACATTGTGAGACAAGTCTTTTCCACTGGACATCTTGCATCCTTAAAGGGAGAAAAATAGAAAACATTGGGGGTTAGTATGACTTACAATGGAGGTAGGGACAACAGCTTGGCCTCTGATGCAGAAAGGCTGAGTTTTACCTAATTGAGGGCAATTACCACAGTAAAGACCAGCTGCACAATCAGTAGCTGCAGAGCACGATTCTAATACCTGCCACAATTTCGCAAACAATTCAGTTCACAATTCGCATAAAATCAAACCGAAATTGAACGGATCTACACAAATCGTCGAGAAATAACGAAACCATCAACAAGTTGAGGTCAAATTGAGAAACCTGGCATTCGCCATTGGAGCAAGCGGATGAGGTGAGGAAGAAGGTAGCTGAGACAAATAGAAGAAGATACTGATTTGCATCACCTCCAAGCAATGATTTCTTCATCCGCAAAACCCCAAAACTTTTGCAGAACAGATAGAGAGATAAAGAGAGAGAGAGAGAGAAGCAGAAAAAAAAAGCAAAAGTTTTGAGGATTGAAGATTTCCTTTTTTTTTCTTCTTATTTGGAATGAAATGAAATTCATAAAGCAGCCATGGTAGAAGAAGGTAAAGTTGTTGGGTTTCTACTCCTCCATTATTTGTGTCAAATCTTGTGTTATGTGGTCACGTTAATGGCTTCGTGTTCACACACACACAGTGTGTGAAAAGTTGAAATGCAAACGACAATGGTGGACTGCTTGTCCATATATCATTAAATGCATCTTCATCCGCTCCCAACTACAACATCATACAAAATAAACCGCCAAACAGGGTTCTATGCCATTTGATTAGTACGGTTTACGAGATTTTTGTAACTTAACCCAATTATAATGGTTTGGAAAAATAATCCAAACCAATCATTTAAAAGTATAACCCAAACCAATCCGGTCTTTGCGTTAAGACGGATTAGATTTGCTTAACGGGTTGGTAGTTACATAAATTTAACGAATGCAATATTTCATGAGACTTAAGTTTATAATACCATCTAAAAAAGTTACAATAGGTTTATAGGATATTTTTGGGCATTTCAACAAGTTTTTTTAGAATGTTTTTAAAATAAATGTCATATTGGTTATTTTACATAAACATTTTGAGAAAGTGTCTTTTAAACTCATCTATTTATAGAATACTTGTGTTCATATGACACTTTTTCAAGTAGTGTCGTATAAAATAACTAATATGATACTTTATATTAAAGCGTCATAAAAATTTGTTAAGATGCTTAAAATCATCATATAAAGATATTGTAACTTTTTTAGATAACATATTTTTTGTTTTGTCCTACAAAGTATCATGTTAGAATACTTAGACATTTTAGGCATCCTATAAAACCTAATGTTGCAATGAAATGCTATAAGTAAAGATTTTTTTTTCCACCAAATTACAACATCAAATGACGGAATATTTGGATTCATAGATTCGCAACCAAATATTTATCAATATCATTCATATTCTCCGGCATATCCATTTGATGTTGTTGCAAAAACGATTTCAATAATTTTCTCTTATTAATTAAATTCTTTGTTATCGTTTTTTGATCGTGAATCTCTTTTGTAATATTAGCTGAACTGAAATACAAACATAATCTCAATAAATATTATATAAAATTTTACACATTATTAATATATAATACACACACACACATATATATATATATATATATATATAAAAAGAAAATTTTATAAAACTTATATATTAGCGACGGGTCCACGGTTTGGACGAGTTAAGCCAGGCGTAACTCAATTTCAACCCCCCCTAATTGTTGGATTGGAGGTTTGACGGGTTGGATTTAATTGGACTGTTAGCGGGTTGGGTTGGACGGGTTTCGCACGGATTGACGGTTTTTTATATACTTCTACCTCTAAAGTAGCATTTGATGCAATTAATCAGATTGGACGGGACTTAACTAATTGTCTATTCAATTATAACAGTGTAAGACAAAGAATTAAACAAAACTGAAATACACTACTTAATATTTTTGTATCATATAATATTTATAAACTACGTAAATAAGTTAAATATTAAAATAATTGTACTTGTAAATTTGGGATTATTTTTTTCCCATATTTTCATACCTCTAATTTTGTTTAATATTGTTTCAAACATGAGACTGGTTTTTTGTCCTGTTTCGTCCCATGCAGTTTGTAGAACAAACACACCCTAAATGTTTATACCTTTTACTAATTTTGACCAGCTTTATATTGATCTTGTAACATTTGATAACATGGACGTCAAGTTTTTGATAATCCTTTTCGTAAACCTTTTTATAAACAGACATCTATGTCACTAAATGTTACAAGATCAGTATGATACTGACCAAAATGGATACAAGATAGAAAAATAGTAAACTTATTACATTAATAGAGATTTTTTTCCTCCTAACATTAAATAAAAACTAAATATTGTTTACCAAACGGTTACCGGGTAAATACTTATTGGGTCATTCATATATGAACATGACAAAAACTGAGAATCTTATCTGGTAAATGAAGACAACGCCTCTTTCCTGGTTACTGCTTACCTAGTAAATTGTTGCATATAATGTCATTTTGATAGACTAAAATTTTAACCATTAAGATAAGTGATGGTGTTGGCTTTTACAAGTAAGCACTTACCGAGTAATCATTCAGGTAAACGTCCCTAAATCAAAAATTGTTGCATTTCTTGCTTCTCAAAAGAAATGATGAAGTCATTAGAATTCAAAGGATTCCATCCATTTCAAGAAAATAAACCAAACAAAGAAATTAGAATTTGATCAAAAGAATTCCATCAAATTCATTTGAATGCCTCAGACCAAACAACCCCTTAAGTTTGTGATTACAAATATGCAGTGTCCATTATGAGGTGCCAACAATTGGATTAACGAACATCAGGAATTCAGGATAAGCTTTGAACATCAATTACTACATAAATTTCAACAGTTGCATAAAACAAACAGTATAAAAATAAGACGTAGTCTGATATATTTGGACAAAGTCAAGTTGGAAGAAGTCAGTCATGAAATTGGATGTGCATTTCTGTAAAAGTCAACGAACCAACCAATAAGAAGCTGGTTAAAAAGAGTCAAAATGCACCTTACAAGTAAATTCTGATGCATTCTGCATGTTTTCCCCTATCTTGGTGGTGAGTAAAACTACTCGTCTATAGAAAACAAACTCAGGGAACAGCAAAAAGAATTACCTATGGATTTGATGATGTTAAAAGAATGCCCAAAAAAAACTTGTTTTTAATCATAATAATGGGGGGTATTAATTAGGGGTCAAGCAAGCTTCTTAGCACGCCCGCTCGATGGACCCATCTCTTCTTTTTTTGAACCAGATGACTCCGGCTTCTTTGCCCAAGCCGGAGCCCTATCTGGTTCATAACGGTAGTCGTAAAACAGTTCTTCCCCAGCACATATTCTTTCTTTAGCAAATATCCCGACCCTATGATCTCCAGCCACCATTATAACCTGACCAAATAATCGTTTAAACGTATATCCACCACACTCGATATTCGGGTAGCAAAGTTCATTAGAATGCAATAGAATTTGCCTTGGCTCCGATTTAATGTAAAAAAGACCTTTTTCTCAATTCAAAGCAATAAAGTTTCAAGAGTTCCAATTTAATATAACAAAGTTGCCAATTTTTTTGTTCTACATCTATTTTGACCGGTAACCTACTGTTAATCTTGTAACATTTTGAATCATCCACTTCGTTGTAACCCTTTCTTAAACAGGTGTTCACAGCATCAACAGGTTACCGGTCAAAACGAGTACAAAATAGAAAATTCTGAAACTCCGTTTTATTGATCAAGAAATCCCTCCGTCCGAAAATAAATGTCTACAATAGAAATGGCACCGTTTTTAGATGGAAATAATTATTACATTTTAAAAAAGACAACTTTACCCTTAATGTCTCAAACTTTCACAACTCTTAAATATTTGTGCATTAAGTAAGGGTAAATTTGAGAATTCTGCTATTTGGTTTTGAAACTAACGACACTTATTTTGAGACAAAAGCTAATAGAAATGTCGACACTTATTTTGGGACAGAGGGGGTAAGAACTAAACCAAATTTTAATGCATTTGGCCCAGCTCAAAATGGTGCATTAAAGTACTTTGAATATTCAAATAGATCCAAAATCACATGTAAAACACCATTTTGGTGACTATTGAACGTATTTGTGCTAAGTTTCCAACCTCAACACAATACGTTTCAGACCATATTGGGGTATTTCAGGCAGATTACCTTTGCATAACAATTTGGGACCGGAGAATGATTAGCAAACTTCAATTTGTCACCTTTACGATAAGCATCAAGAACATACTGCATATTGAAAACAAAAATGCCATGTCTCTTAGTTTGTTGGATAAGAAAAAGTAACAAGCACGCAAAAGAAAGGAGGTTGTGCCGTACTTGATCGTTAAGGTTGAAGAGGAAAGACGAATTTTCACGATCGTAGATCTTTCCACGCTTGTCAGCTTCACGATGTGAGATCAATTCTCCGGTGTACTCACCCAGGTATTCATGCTTAGGTACGCTATTCTGAAGAGCAGATAAAGATGAGTTGCTTGAAAGGAACATAATTAACAACCATATAATATACCAGTAGTCCTGCTTACCTTTAAGAAAGCTCCCCAACCAGAAACATCGGACCTTCCTAGTAAAACCTGTGCGCATTGAAGAATGCCAAACACTATCACCGTCAAGATCGTCACATTTCAAAGCTTCAAATTAATCTCATTTTCTATGCTTTAAATTAATTCAGCAATTTTATAGCTCTTCTAGACTTTCACATCAAAATCATGCAAAACGACATTGATACCAAAAGGGTCAATGGCCCCAGGATTTTTGCCGAGCAGGTGGACCTTTAAGGTAGATCAAAGACCTGTAAAGTCGCTCGATGTGTTTTTAGCCTAATTCCATTATTTTGAGGGAATCTTTTAAAGTTTTTTGGTTGATTTTAGAGGGAATTTTTTGGTTTTTTTGGTTGATTTCGAGAGACTTTTACTGTTTTTTGGTTGATTTCAAGAGACTATTTAGGATTTTTGGTTGATGTCCCTTGTATTTTTAAACATGCGAGCACTCGTAAAAGTTTAGCGGGTGCACCTTTCAACCCAAAATAATTTCTACTTGCAAAAATCAGTTGTGCAGGTGCCGGGTGCAGGGGATCCCGCTCGGGTCTTCATCTGATTGGCCCAATGGCATCCAGGTTACTGGTAGAGCTCAACGTCTAGAGGTCAATGGTTCAAGACTCACCAAAGGTGAGGACTGAGGAGTGTGTGTGAGTTTTGCTGTATATAAATATTATATACTTTCAAGAAGAAGAATAATAATAAGATGACATGGATTACCTTTGTATATGAATTGGAAAACAAGAAAAACATAATTACCCGTTGTTGTTGTTTGAGGAGAAGCTTCATATTTCTACATTCGTAATTATCACCTCTTTGACCTGGAATACCTAGAGTACCGTCTCCACACCTGCAAAGTCAAGTAAAAAAAGTTTCAATGTACGACTTATAAAAAGGGGAACGTGTAAATACTTTTAGATCCTGGGACAACTATTCGTGAATGATTTATTATGAATATCTTGATAGATATTGACTTCTCATAAGCAACGGGTAGAAGTTTTCTAGCCTGGATACTGCTAATACAATATCACATCAATCGAAATGATAATATATTTGTATATATTACAAGCACCCAGAGACTGCTATAAACTGATGTCAAAAGCTTGTAATTGAATTGATGCATAAAGGAATTCACTCCAATGGCATTCTCTCTCCAGAGCAAAGCTCGTTTACAACTGAATTGAAGAAAAAACAGAATACTTCCACACTAATCCCCTCCCCTATTTATACTACCCTTCTAATGTTGCAGGAAAACCGACTGTTGACGACAAACCCTTCTTCCCACACTTGGACATATTATGTAAATTGATGCTAGTTATATATCCTCAAAACTGAAAGTAGTTGTTGACCTCAAGGCTTTCCTCTTTCCAGCCATACAAATTAAACTGCAGTTCAAGATTTAGGCATTCACAAAAGCAGTTTCTAAACTAAATACTAGACAAGAATCATGAAGAGCCTAATCTTCTCTCAAGGAAAAAAAGTATGAAGTTCCTAACCATCATTTATGTCATATAAGTTAGACAAATTCCATACATTCACATAACTTCTCTTCGATGTTGTTACTTCTGATTTCTGAACCATATCCAAAAGTAGGGAGTAGAATATACCAATTAGGATTTTCAGAAGCTTCATAATAACAAATTAAGCAAGAAATTTATGGTCGAATAAAGGCTTGATTGGACAGAAAAATTCCAGCAAAACAAGTGGATGCTGGAATAACTGAAGGCCCATAAGAAACTAAGAAAGCAAGACCCATTATCATCACAAAAGGGGAACATTTTGATTCTTGAAAGTCCTAGAAGTCACATATCCCAAAAATTCATACAAATCGTATGTGGATCCCAAGTTTTATCAATGACGTAATTCACACATGCCATTTATGATCTAAGTCAAGGAATTATTAGATGAGTTCCATATAACAAATCCATTTGCATGTTCTTTTGTAGTAGAAACATGTCTTCTAATGAGTATATCGCCAAATATCAGCATAATAACATATAGCAAACGATATAAACATCTCACCCGATCCAGCAATTTCTGCACACGTCTGGATCACATTCTCTACCAGCAGCAAAGCAAGGGCATTGACGACTTCTACACTGGCTTTTAGCGCAATGGCATCCTCTAAAACGATTTTTGCATGTTTTCGGACATCTAATGAACATAGAAGCGATCATATTTATAAAAAGAGAGGTGGAATGGAAATATAAGCTAAATGCATGTCAGGAAAAGAAGGCCTTGGACTAAAACAAACTGGGGAAGTAGAGGAAGAGTGATACCAAAGAAAACCTATACAATATAAGCATATAACTCGTCATGTGGACGTTCGATGAAGTGAGATGGAAGATTTTATTGTAAAACAAAAATGGAAAATACGCTAACTTCTCATCAAAAAATAAAATCTGAAATTTATGTTTAAACAACTAGAAATTACATGTGGTCATTGAAAATGTCCTGCTAATTTGAAGACCTGGTAAACAAAACCCGAAAAAATTACAACAATGTAGGCATCAAATTAAAGACTATGAAATGCTCATTTTTTGTATAATTTGTTTAACTCTTTTATCATAAGTTGAATATTTTAGATTTAGAAATAAAGATGCAACTTATTTGAATTTTAATGGAGTATTTTTTTGGATAATGGAGAGGATTATCCTGAATTTGAACATGTTTAAAACTTGTACACATGTATAATTACACATAACAATATTGGATGCTTAAAGGATTGTTCTTAAGACTTTGAGTAAAATGTTGTATAATATAATATAGACAAGTGCCTTACCCGCAGTACTTTTCACAGCAAGTCCCACTGACAAGGCAAGAACACTCCTTTCCACAAGCAGATTGGCACCCACATGGATTGTATTGGCGACAAGGCAGCTCTTTTTTATCAGAGATACGTTTCCTCATTGAATGGTATCCAGCAGACTTCCAGGAATACTTTAAGCGACGAACTTTACCTCTTCTGCGTAAAAATCTAGATCTTCTTCTTAGTGCAGTACCCTGACGTGTAATTAGAACCATAAAAGCAATGTAATATTCTGATTGGTTATACCACTGCTATCACTGCAAAAGAGCATGAGACCACTAACCGTATTCTCATTACTATCAATTCTGGATCCATCGCCTAGAGAATTTGTGCCGTCTCCACCTTGAGAAGATAGCTTATTCTCAGAGCAATTCATAGCATAAAACACCTCCGCACATGTCTTCATTCCATTCATAAGATTCCTAGCTATTAAACAGCTGCAATTACGAACAAAATTACAAAAGAAAAGAACCTCGTATTATAAACCCAAAGCATACAGATAATATTGTACTCCAGAAAATTGCATGCTTGTCTGATAAAACCACAATAAGCAACATCCAAAATTGTGATACCATGTAGAAAGCCAAAGGTTAGTTCAACACCAAACCAACACCCTTCCAAAAGAAATGATGCAACACATACAAGTTTAACACAGAGTGAGGTGGGTTTTACAGAAATAAAGAAATGGAAGTGTCTCTAGTCTGTTCATCAAGTTGGTCCAATCATCAATCCAACATGGAAGATTAAATGGAAAGAATTTTCATTCAGGAGCCAAACAATGGTATTCAGCAATTAAGTTATCTTAACTGAATATATATATAGAGATGGTCAAGTGATATGCACTTAGAATTCAATGTATAAAGCACTCATTTTATAATTTTTAGCTAGTTTATTTTCCTTTTATCCCAATCTTGAGTTATTTTTATTACTTTATTTTCCCCTTTATTATTTATGGAGCAAAAAGTATGATTTACATGTTTTTACACCATTAGATAGCTAATTTGAACTTGCGCACAAGCTGTTTGGTGCTATAGCATTCCTACAACATGGATCTGGTAGTTTTCGGCTTTTTGAAGTGCTTAATGAACTAAGTTGTTGGGCAGACGTTTTGTTGCTTGAAGACCAGGCTCTGAAGATGGAAGATTCATGGCTGCTAAATTTGTTAGGATTGATGTAATAGTCTAGTTACTTTAAAGTATTTTTAGTTGACTTTTTAATGACTTTGGCCCCAAGTTCCATTTTTATCTTATTTGTCCCCTCTATTTGGGTATAAATAGGGAGGAAGGGTCTTAGTTTCTAAGGATCCAAAATCAGTTCTAAACTGATTCTCTCTAAGATTCAAAGCAATTTTGATATCAAGTATAGTAATTACTTTCAAGTCATTTACTTTCAGCTTTTTACTTTCAAGTCATTTAATTTTCGCTCTTTAATTCAAGTCATTTAATTTCCGCTCTTTGCATTCAAGTCATTTAATTCCCGCTCTTTACATTCAAGTCATTTACTTTATGTTTTTTACATTTCTTGCAATTCACTTTCAGTAATGAGTAGCTAATTTCATTAGCTTGGGAGTGAGACAAATAGTGAGATTATAAACCGAAGGAAAGTGAACGTTGTTTCGCAATAACAACGTTCCATTATTTGATTCAAGTTTTATAAAGCAAAAAACACTTCTTTACGAGTTGATCACTTTGAAAATGTTAAAGTGTTGTGGACTCTGGAATGAGCCACTTAATGCACGTCAATTCGAATGACATGGGAAGTAGACATGGAAAAGTTATTGATAAAGGAATTTGTCATATATGTTTTTCAAAATGATTATTCTCGACGGCTTGGTCGCTTATCAAAGTGTTAAAGTGTAGTGGACTCAGGAATAAGCCACTAAGAACACACCAACTTGAATGACATGGGAATATGCTCGGAAGAGTGATTTTTAGACAGAGGAATTTGCTAATCCATATATTTTGCAAACACCATTTTGCACTATCACTAGTCCAGATACCACAAAGAAATTCAGGTTGAAAGCTAAACATTAGTGCAATGGTGAAGTCCGGAAGGAATACCCTCAAAATAAATGGTGGAACTAGTTATGGTTGACTGCTTGTTGTAGCATCCCTACAACATTGTCTGCTGGAATTTGTGTTTATGTCTCACCACAAGTCTTACACCCATGCTACCTTTTAGTCTGTTATTTGCAATTGGTAACTCAACAATCAACCATAGCCTTCAAGATCGCCATCTGAAACCATTTCTTTCATTCTACTTTTATTAAGCTTTTACTATGATCGATGTGGACGATACTCAGTACTTGTACCAATTTATTACTTGAAAGACAATATTAGGGCTAATTGTATACTATACTTGCTTTTGGTCCTAATTACCACGTCTAAGGGTGTGTAAAAGCTCCTATCATCAAGTAACAGCTGTTGAGACTTGGCAATCACAGTTGTGTATATTTAGCTAATAATATGTGTATATATAGTCATTTCACTTGTTCACATAGGCATAACAATTTAGACACGTTTCTTCAGAGCATAATCTATGTAATCGTTGTTGTAGCAAGAAGAAATAGTATTCAAGAAAGAAGAAATAACATAGGCTACCCGTGGATGTTGATTAGAGTTGAATCAACTCTAATTGAACCATGTAAATCTTGATGGTGTAGTCGATCGGTTTATTCATTGTTTGTTTCTTCTCGTCAATTGATTGATTGTGTGTGTTTACTTGTTGATAATTAACTGGTTAAGTTAATAATTCCTTTGGAAATTGAATAGTCATCAGTTTTGCAGTGAATTTGATTTGTATTTCTACATTATTTGTGGTTGCAACAATAGTCTGTTTTCACAAATGCACTTTGGGCGAGTTTTTCAGCTAATTACTTGAAACACAGCCTAGAAAAGGCGTTGTGTAAGATTGTTGAAAGCTGACGCCAAAAAGACATCAGACTCGTACTCTGCTATTTTATATTTGTAATCATATGAATGACAACAGATGCAAACTAACGAACTCCAAAAAGATGATACTCCTAGGAAAGAGGGAAGAAACTTTCACCTACCAGAAAATCAAACATGCAGATAGTCTCTAAGTTTCTAATGGTCCATATCAAAAAAGTGAAGGTACTAACCTGTTTCTGCCAAAGATCTCCAGACCTTTTTCAAAGAGAGATTTTTCAATAGTTCTCCAACATTTGAACTCAATCAATTCTTGTCTGCAGATACTCTCATCCACAAACTCTTCTTTCTTCCATTTGTCATCACTACTGATCACTGGCTGGTCACTGGTGATCTCCTTCAATGCACAATCAGGAACTTCAGCCTGAAGAGATCTATCACCACTAGGGACCAATGAATCTTTCCGCCTACCCCTTCTGGCACTGGGTTTTGCCTTCAGAGAGGATGAACTAGCTTCTTCATTTTCTTTATGTGAATTGGATCGAACCCCCATATCTTTTGAGCCAAGACTTCCACTGGGAACAGAATCAGAATCAGAAGCAGCCAGCTTCTTCTGTCTTTTCTTTATTGCAACCATAACATGATCAGCAATACGTTTGCTATTCCTTTGACGAGTTCCACGTTTCTCAACAAGTTTACTCTTACGTGGTGAAGGAAGACGATAAGTAGAATTCCCATCATGAACTGGCCTAGTCTCAGACTCACTGCTTTCAGATATGTTTCTAGCATTTGATGAAGCATTTTCACTCTGGCAAGACTTTAACCTCCTCAATAGAGACCGGCCATTGGATTTTTTTCTTGATGCCTGAACACCATTACCATCTGATGAAAGAGCAGCCTTTTGTTCACTATTGGGCTGCATAGAAGATGTTACGGCAGTGCCTTCCACCTTTTGGACCTAAGGAAAGCCAAGTACAAGGTCCAAGATTAGCTGTCTAAAAAAGCAATAACCTTTTCGGAAAAATGTAAAGACCTAGATAAACATAGAAGCTCAAGCACCACAAAAAAAAATGTAGGTATAGCAAAATAAAAATTCAAAGTTATAAGGGCATATAGCATACTTAATTCTAGCTCCTAGCGATTACCCGATAATAACAATGGGGACCACAAGGTAGCTTTTCCTCATCCATGCGGTTCCAGGTAGAATGCTTTTCAGCCTAAATAGAATGTGAGGGTTAAAATAATTAGAATCAGAACCAGATATCTTTAGCCTATGTTTAATACACCCTCCATCACAGAAAAAGAAACAAGAAAAGAAAAGAGCCCACTTCAAAATCTAGACAGCTACATATGATTAAATACAATTAACAAAATGCCTATACAAAGGATATTTTAGGAGACCTAAATTTGTCTATATTAAATTCCGAAATGGCTTTGTTTTTAGAGAAAAAGAAAAATTGTAAATCAGACTCTCTTTTGGGGTGGGTGATAGAAGCGGTAAGGTAAAGTGAACTTACAGGAAATATAAGGTCTTGTGAGCACCCATGTAATTTACAATCAAATACCTGCCAACAGAAAAGACAGGAACAACTAATTACAGCAAGTATAGCACCAAATAAGTTTGCAAGGATACCAGTATGAAGATACATTTGTGATGCATAGATACCAGGGTTCGAAGATTCAAAGAAGAGGAGTGTTTTTACGTATGTATGTGTCTATATATACAAATCTAGAAGCAAACTAAAAAGAGAGAAGTTATCTTATTGCATCAATATAATGACCTATCCTGCATTCCTGCTTACTCTACCGGTGCAAGGTAACTATCAAAAAGAAACCATTGGTCTGGTAGACAACCTTCTTGCACTCTTGAAGCCACAAGTGATAAGAAGTTTATTTTAGATTCAAGGCTAAGTCTCTACTTTAATTAATGAGTTTCATTCTCACAATATTCTTTTGAAGTATATAATGTTTATATATGGAAAATAGAACAAATAAACTCACACACCCTCCTCACATTTGGTGAGGTTTGAACCCTTGACCTCCTAGGAGGTCAAAGACTCACATACCGCTAGGCCAAAGGCCCTTTGTTTGTGGTGAAGATCTGGTCAACGCCTCATAAGATTTACATCCCCCTACCTGCTCCCCAAAGAACTAGACCACCAAGCACTCAATACAAGGATTTGCAAGGATAGAGCATCCCTGACCAAACCCAAGAAGAAAACATGTAGAATAACAAGGCTTACAAGGCATCGGCGACAGAAGAGGTTGTCAAATGAGTCCAGTGCTGCTTCAAGATCTTTATCAAACAATGAACTCATATCGAACTCAACATTTCCTGGTTTAGAGCCTTCAACAGCATTCTCTCTGTTCACAAGGACTTCATACCTTGCCTGCATAAGTTGTTCTATGGTGTGTCAAAAGCAAACACAAGAAAAAGGAGAGAACAACTGGACCAACCTTTGCACGCCTAGTCCCTAAATTTAATAAGAAAAAAAATAGAGAACAAAAGAGAACAAAATGTCAGGTTGTTAAGTGCTTACTTTGAGTTCTGAAGGTTTTCTAGACAACCGCTGCCCCAGTAAATCCAAAACAGCATCAGATGACCCAAGTTGTTGAATGGTCATTCTGTAATCATCAAAAAATCATGAGGGTGTAGAAATAGCATACCGTTCATGGCTGGAAGTTGTCACTGACATTTGGAAAGGATAATATCGAAACAAAATAGAATAATGAACAAGGATGCTTTTAAGAGCAACAATGGTGGAAAATCATTCTAATATGTTGCTGACTTGAGACACTGAACAAAGATCAGAACATGACAAAAAGGCTAAAGGGATATGGGTAAACAATTAAACCAAAGCGATTAAAACAACAGAACAAAAGTAACAAAGAAGTGACTGCTTTAGGTTTGATCCCGATGGCAACTACTGGTGGGAAGTGCTTTTGTAGCCAATTAATGTTAGTAGAAACAATGGCTTAGTCAAGAAAATTATCACTCCCTTTTTCAAGTTGAAGGAAGATCAACTATTATGTATACAGAAGCACTGAATGACTCAAGGGAAAGAAACAAATGTGAATGTCAGAAGGTTAACTACTTCAAAGCAAGAATGCAAACAACTCCTCGATGTAAAGAAAGAGAAGTGAACAAGTAGAAATCAAAAGTGCAAATAATATTAACTCTTCACCACCCCCACCCCCACCCCCACCNCCCCACCCCTTTTTACTTTGCATAATGTCTTGCCCACTAAAAAGTATAAAAATACCCTTTTGAGGTCTGCAGATGGAAATTGTATGCACATGCTGACAGGAAACATGGACATAGAAACTGTACTTGTACTAAAAACAAGAAATCAGAAAAATATCAAACAATAATACATGCAGATGGGATCAGAAGAACATATAAATTGAAGTACACCAACCGAATGATGTAATCTTCAGAGTCAACAAACTCTTTCTTTTCCTCTTCTTCATCAATTGCTTCCTCTTCACTGTCACTGCAAATTAGAGCTTCACCCCCATTTTGATCATAATAAATTCTCCTTCGACCAACTACAGACTGGTCTTCTGTCATTCTCTGATTTCTGTATGAGTCATAGTTTTAAGAAAAAGCAATATTCACTTAAAAGTTACAACAAAGCCAAGAAGTAAAACAAAATCGCAACAGATATGGTATGAGATCCCCTATAACCTTGAGGGATAGCTCAACTAGCAACTAAAGGCTAGGCCTTATGGCTCCTGGCCTCCTCCCCATAGATCGCTAGTTCAAGTTTCCCCAGGGCCACTGGGATTACTCTAGGTGCACGCAAGCTGGCCCAGACACCCACAGATAACAAAAAAAGTCTTAGCTAGTAATGGGTTTCAATACTGGATCTGAAACTGAAAAGGGCAACAATTAAAGGGGAGAAGTATTAAATGAGTTGCCTGTTAGGCAATCAATGGGATGTTAGAGATCATTATAACCAGACATTTCCAGCTTAAGAAGATGAGTTTCTAAAATTCAGAAATCCCAAAGCTTGATGAGAGATTAACTGCAACAAAGTGTTATTGACTCAAATATTAGCCTAGCAATGTCTCCATTTTGGGGAGCAAGGAGAAAGGCGCAAACATGAAAACTGATGATACTACCAAAACAGACAATTCACCTATGGCCAGTAACATAAATAATAACATCTTATTTATAGTTAAACTAAATGCACGCCGGAGGGGGGGACATCTTGCAGTGAAAGCTATTACCCAATAAGACCCAAGAGGCAGCTGGAAACAAGCTATCTACACAATTAAAATAAGTGAAAGAACTAGCAAACACATATTTGACTGCATTTGAACTTAACAAGTGCAGGGTAAGATCACCTATCCAAGAAAATCCATGTAGTATAAGGAGGTAATTTCTTCACTTCTGGAAGCTTGATTGGCCTGACAGCATTTTTTACTGCAATGCTAGAACCTAGGAGAATTGCTGAAGCATGTCCATCTTCCTGAGAGCTAGTGCTGTCACTGTCACCATTGCTTGCATTGACGCCGTTCTGCTTATCTATTGCATCTTTCTGCCTCTTTGTCAACAAATCAACAGTTTGATCAGCACCAGAAATCCTTAGATGCCTTCTTTCTAATGATAACTTGTGATGAGTGTGGGTGACTTCAGACAACTTAATCCGGTTCTCTTCCATTCTTTTCTGGAATAATAAGAACATATCAAAGCATCATGATGGATATTCTTTACCAAACAAGTAAAGGCATATTTCGGATTTACGTAGTTCTAGGACTCACCATGATATAAACACAACGATCAGCATCAACTTTCTTCTTCAACGAGTCGATAACCAATGAAATCTCTGAAGGAGCTATAGCTGCTCCTTGTGGTCCCACAATCTGAACAATATGAACATTAGTTCAGTTTCCTGAATTCTAACATACATTTTGAGTGATGACTGCCCATGAAGCCCTAGCACTCTCCTCTATTATGTTGATCTTTTAAGTCATAAGTAAGTAATGTGTTTCACTGCATTATAAGTTTACATAACATTTTATCTTTGCTTCAAACCACCAACCAAATGTGATGTCGTTATATATTTTGATGATGAAGGGCAGGTTATGTGAATTGAAATTCTTGAAAATACTCTTAGCAGCATGTTATTAGCTCATATTCAATTATGTTCGTGGCTAACGATTTACTAATGTTGCTGCAAATTAATGTAGCAAGTCTTCAGAATGCATACTCGTACATCAACAAGAGCATTTCCATAACCGATACACGCTAAGAAACTAGGGAATTCTCCTTCCAAAATAACAACAAACAAGCAAGTAATTACACGCATTAATCAATGGCATGGTACCGTAGATACATCTGGAGAGTCCGATCTGCCGGCGGCGGTGGATGATAGAGGAGGGACCTTCGGCGACGACATTTCCTGCCGTCGAGAGGATAAGCTGTGGAGGAGCACAAACCGGCAATGAAGAGCTGTACGAGATCGAACTCATGCAAATGCGAAGGAGAATCGATGCGAGAAATTAGCGATTCCGGGGTTTGAAACCCTAGGATGTGAGATTTTGGGGAAGCGCGGAGTCAATTTATATGTGAAATTATTTAATTATGACAACGGCCAAGTCTCTGTCTGTGGAATTGCGAATTGCGAATTGCGATCGACTCAGGCAGCGTCTGCTTTTGGACGAAACATGGTAAATGTAAACTAAAAGGTTTCATGAACTTCACAATTTGTAATGAGTTTTAAATAATTAATGTAGTTTTATGAGAAATTAAAATTTCAAAATATATACCTCAACTCTCCTTGCTCCTAACATACACATGTTGGGGATTGCTTATAAAAACTGTTTATTGACTTATTTTGGTATGGTACCGGTAATAAACAGTTTTTAATGTTTAGATGGGGGAAAGGAAAGATGTTTATACCGATGTCAAACTGCTAATAAGGAATTTTTGATAAGTTACTCTAATTTAACTTATCAAATTCAGCTTATTAGGTTTGCAAATCCAATTTACCTTTTTAAACCTCATACACCTCGTTCTTTTAACCAAAAACTCTCTTATATGTCTCCTTTCTCAAGCAATCAGTTCATCAAGGGACCTTCGACCATTCTCGGAAATCAAACCTTTGATTGAAACCTTCACTTACGAAAATCGAAATCAAACCTCCGTTAGAAACCTTCAACCAGTTCCTATAGAAATTGAAAAGGGTTTAGGGTTCTTACTTCAAGATTACTTTTTGAAAAGGGTTTAGGGTTTTTCTTACATAAGCGACCTTCGAACACAGTTCCTCCTTCCTCATTTTTTTTTTTTTTTGTCATTTTACATGTATAAGCAAAATTTGTCAAGCACTAAAAAACAACTTATCAGTTTATTACGTTTTGGTACCGCTATAAGCTAATTCAAACACTTATTATAGAGCTCTGCTTTGACACCACATAAGATGATAAGCATTTTTACAAAAAAAAAACTTTAGTTGTTTTAAATAAGCAATCCCAAACACCCTCTTAGTTTCCTTGTTTTAGTTACTATTCACAATCTATACTAGATCTCGTAGATTTAGAACGTGTTCACAATTCATAAATGTTCACAATGTAGAAACGTTGTATACATGTTTAATCGTGTGTCAATCATAACTTCAAACAGAACCTCACTGTAGAGAGGGAGACCCCCGGAAGCGTAAGAACGACTATTTTGGAGCCTGAGGGTGAGGTTCCATCGACGAGTGAGAAAATGAACGAGAGACCTATGGCTACGTGAGGATCGGGACGCGGCATCCGCCCGCAACGCTTGTTGCCTCGTCTCCAAACCCCTATGCTGCCTTTTTTTCATGCTTTTCCCCGAGGTCTGGAGAAAGCTGAAATCAATAGGATYTCCCTAATCCTCCCTTAGGAAGAGCGCTCTCTGGTAGCGCAAATGCGCGCTCAGGGGCATGCCTGAGTAAAGTATACAAGTGTTGAAAGAGCGAAGTATGGGGACCGGAGATAATGAAGAGAATAGAGTAGAAAGAGAGTTTTTTAAATTAAATTATAATTTAATTTTTAATTATTTTTTGTAGCCTAAATTATATGTCACGAATTATAATGTTTTAAAAGAAGCATCCTAATGCATTACCTTATTTTGACAAGAATAAGAATGTATATAACAACATTCTTCTTGTTACTAATTTAATCTGATTATGACATAAATGAGATTCATATAACAACCACCACAAATTTTCAAGTGAAAAAAGATGATGGGTTGAGTAGTATTTATGAGCATCAAGTCTATGTCTAACTAGGCAAACATGCATCCTTATTTTGACCCTTGACTGAGTTAGTTCAGTTGACCATAAAATTTACCTTAGCGCTATAAACGTGGCAGAGTTGTGAAAATAATGACGGTTCCGGGACGAAAGGGTTGCAACAAAAAATAGGTCGGAGACACAGTTCGCGATACCAATGGTGCATGCACTGATTCAAATTACATATGCATATCCATAAGTATCGTGAATTTAGCATTCACGTATTTGTATGATGATTGTTCTGTGTTAGCATACGATCACCCGAGAAAAATACTTACAAAAATAACATGGAGACGTCTATGCACAATTTGTAACACCCATAAATTTCGGTAAGTAGAATTACAAGACTTTTAAGTATCTTCATTTGCTTTTATGGTTTTGGTTTTGAAGTCCATAATTTGGATGGTTTTGGGTATCAATTTTAGGAGAAAATGTTCAAAGGGATGAAAATGGGGAAAACACTTCGGCACGTTTTGGGCTACAGTGACATTGTCACTCACTATAGCACAGCGGGATCACACGAAGAGAACCAACCTCGGTATATTTGGGGATATAATGCCCGACGATAGTGACAGTGTTACTGTATCATGGCAGGAGCGTTCGGGATCAACTAGCTGCAGTACATTTCGGGCTATAGTGCCCGACTATAGTGACACCGTCACTATAGCAAGACAAGATCGCGAGAAGGGGCCACCAGCACAATAAAATCCAATTTTCAACTTATTTGAACCATTTTTTCTTACACCTACCTTTTCTCCTTCCGCATTTACTCAAATCCACTTCCCTCCCTTCATTAAAGTCGGTTTTGGAGCTCATTCAAGGAGGGTTTGTTTATCAAGAGCTTTTGGGTACTTAAGGAGTCTATAAAGAAGCCTCAACCATGAAATCAGGCATCCAAGTTCCTCTTCACCTTTCTAGGGTTTCCTTGATTTTTCCAGTTTTTCATCAAAACCTAGTATCGCGAGTTCATTTTTTACTTTTATAAAACCACATACATGTTAAAATGATGTGTCGTACCTCCTCTAAGTTCTTATTTCTTGTATTTACATTTTTGAATGATTTTGACCATCTAGATCAGATATGGGGTCAAAGACCTTCCAGCCTAGTGGTAAAGGCTTGGACATGGTATAGTCATGAACCCAAGTTCGAGCCCTGAGAGGGGAGTGTTGGCGACATTTAAGTGGGGCCATATTTAGCCTCCAAATTTGCCGGGGATTAGTCGGGCTTTGGCCCGGACACCCTTACAAAAATTTTTTTTATGAAAGCCTTATATTTGGAATTATGTTAATAAACTGAGATTATACTACTTAATGGGAGTTTGTGCACAAGATATTTTGTACTGTGTAAAGTTTGATATATCTAGATAGATATAATATATGACTAGAATGCAATTGATCCATAGGCATAGAATTCGGTCGATTTTAGTACGTTTGGGTGTTAATCCCTAAACTCTAACGTGAAATAGACATTAAGGTATGGACTATTGGAGTCGGGCATTGGTCATTGACTAATAAAATGTAATTTCTAACCTATTATAGTTTGGAATAGGCATCGGGTCTTCATAAGCATTAAGGTGTAGGCTATTGGAGTCGGACATTGGTCCTTGACCAATAAGATGTAATTTCTCATAAACGGGCTTAACTAAGTTTTGTTCATACAACATTGAATAGCGACTTACTTATGTGTGACATCACGATTAATGGCGATCGGGTCTCCCCTGTTCTTTTATGATGTGTTAAGCTCTTTCAGGGTAAGTGTGAGATAAATACAATATCAGTGTGTTTTAAAGCTACATTTCAGTTTTAAAGTGTATAACCTCATTCATTAACTATTTGTTCTCATTAGGCGTTAAACCTAACATTTTTTTCTCAAATGACATACATATCAGATTATCTTAGCGGTGAGACCTCAAAGAGTCGAGCGAAGCATAATTGCTGGTAAAGGCATTTTTGGGGTTACATTTCGAGTGTAATCGTGGAGTCACAAAATACTATTCTTTTTGTGGATTTTAGTGACACCCAAATGTAATCTATATTTCGATGTAGTGTAGATAAGCATGTTGTCGTCTAGCATCAACTATAAACTCTTACACTGTTTTCCCATTACTGCGTGATTTTTATTTATCAAGCAAATTTTCCAATTTAAGTCATCGGTTTAAATTGTCTCATATTTTAGGGGTGTTACATATTGTATTTTATCTATTTTCTTTCAAATTTAGAGATTTTTTCGTTCTTTATCATATTTTTTTTTTCTCTATTTCAAAGTAAAATTTACCATAACTGTTAGAGCATATCGTTTTCAAATTTTCAAAAAATTTAAAATAACATAACTGTTAGAGATGTTACAAATATTTGGATCCAACTGTATCTAAACTAAGACTCTGTTCTTTTGTTCGTATCAATTTTTAATTTTTTATACTGAAATACTACCGTCCCGTCCTGTCTGCGTACCAAATACTACCTTAAGGTAAGATTTGTACATCGGTTTATTTAGTTATTTAAATATTTAATAAAAACATGGGCCTGATGTTGGGCCTCAGCCCATTGGGAAGCCACCGGGTCATTACGTATACATGCGTCTTTTATCCACAGCTGCGACGAAAAGAAATCGAGTATCAACACTTGGTTGTGGATTTTTTATTCAACTTCTAAAATCTGGAGAATAATGAAAGCCGGCGGTGGATTGGTGTTCGGAGTTCCACGCGCCGCTGTTCTGCCTTCGTTATTCGTCAGCCGCCGCCGCAGTATCACATTTCGATGCTACTCTTCTTCTTCTTCTGGTATGGTGATTTGTACACAACTATCTATGAATTGTTTTTCCCGATAATGTGCACATCAGAGCTATAGTTATTGTTTCCATCAGTGTTTTGGAAGCTTTTAGCATCAAACTACTGAGTTTTTTATGTTAATCTATCATACGTGTTATTGTTGACGATTTTAGTTTTGGAAGTTTGTTAGTATTGGTTTGATGCGGGAGTTTAAAGCATCCTTAGAATGCATTTGAACTAATGAATAATTTCACTGCTGTACTTCTATATATTTTGGTTAACATTAGAAATACTTAAATAATTCAAGCGCCAATTCGTTTATGGAATAGCTTTTTGGTTGTGGTGGTGGTGGCACTAAATGTTATGTAAGAAGTTAGTTTATGTTGTAATGATGTTTGATATAACAGTTAACAAGAGGAATGCATCTTTCTTTTGGGAACAAGAAATAAGAAGCATTGATGACTGTTTTTATTTTGGTGTAAGTAATGGTGTTTTGGGGATGTTATGACTGGACATAATACTGAGTTACATCTACATGCTGGCAGAGTCTGTACATAATAGTGCTATGTGCATAAATTATGTTAATGTAGATTCCCACATTGGCTAGACTTGGACCATTTCTCATCTATATATATTGGAACCTCCCTCTTTCTTTGATCAAGGGATCTTTTGGAGATTAATTTGGGGGTTCCACATATTCTCACAGTAAGTTACATCTGTTCATGCATATGGTCTGAAACGTTAAGCCAAAATTTGTTGAACAATGCTCACTAGTCTAAATTGGTAACCTCTGGTGCACAATCACAGTTTCTTCTACACACTCATGGATGCACATGGCAACAAATGGATTTTCATTTGGTGTTTGGTTCCTTCACAGTTTAGACTCGAATTCGATCTCTCATTTTCTTTCTCAGTATCATTGATTTGTATCTAGTTATCAAATATATGGTTTATAATGTTTTGGTACTCCTCACTTTTCACAAGCTGGGAGTCTACACAGAATCAGTCCCTCTACTCTTTGGGGTAGAGATCAGGTCAGCATACAGACCCCACCTCCAGGTGGAATATATATATATATATATATATGTATATATATATATATATATATATATGGTTTGTTTGGCTTGGTTTAATGTTTTGGTACTCAAACATTTAGCCGAAATGAAGGTGGATAAAAGAACATCAGGAAAACTTCTTTGAACATATTTTTATCCCCATTTGCAGACCATGTTTCGTTTATAAAGGACATTGCTGTAGCTCAACCTCCTGAGCACCTGCATCACCTTCTAAAGATGCTTCAGGTGAGAGGTAAAACCTTGATGGAACTCTGGACTGCTTACCTTCTAAATGCCAATCACTTGTCAGCCATCCTGAAATCCTGCTACTTTCATCACTTTGTGACAGGTGAATCTATAATCTCTCCTGCCGCAAAACAAGGGATGATTCCCCTGGCAATTCCTCTATCAAAAAACAGTTCAGGTCTGTATCAAATCTAAAGACTTGAAAACGAAGTCTCATACAAATAATAAACTTTTATTCACTGTATCTGTTTCTAGGTTCTGTAACGGCACTATTGAGATGGCCAACTGCTCCACCTGGGTAAAGAAGTTTAAACTTTTGTGCAATTTTGTGGAGATTGTCCTCATCAGATAATCTAGTTTCTCCTGTACAGGATGGAGATGCCAGTGGTGGAAGTCCGTAGTTATGGAGTGTGGCTTTTGGCCAAGAATGTGAGTTTATTAGCATATTTTCGGTTGCATAGTAAAAGTTGGCTGAATGTGGTCAAGCATCTGAAAATAGAACGTGTTTGCATGATAAATTTCAGGTAGATCAATATATTCACAGAATTCTGGTTGAAGAGGATGCCAACAGTTCTACAGAAGGCATCGACGAAGTGTTTAATGCTTCAGGTGAAGCTGGTGAAAAACTATACACAAAGGGAGATTTTGCTAAATCTCGCAATTCAAATTTAGACGTGTACCTTCTCCAGAAGGTACTGAGATGATGTCTGGCTTATTCTTGATCCATATATGGTTTTTTTAGTATATATAATATTTACATACTGCAAAACTCACCCAAACTCCTCAACCCTTGACCTTCAGGGAGGTTGGATTTACTGGCAACCCAGATACCCTTGAGCCTATGACCCTTTGGTTCCATAGATGGTTTTACGGACACCTAATGAACATATGTTGGCAGGTTGGTCTATTTCCTGACATCTTGGAACGTAAAGTGGTAGACCATTTCAAGAAAGGAGACCATGTAAGATAACCTTTTGATCCTGCCTCCAAACAATCCAAATTGACTATGTTTTCTTTACTGTTAATGATCTACACATAATGATAAAAGGTTTCAGCCATGGTGACTGGAGAATTCTATACCAAAAAGGAGCATTTTCCTGGATTTGGACGGCCTTTTGTTTTTAATGCCGAGGTTCTGCTGAAGTATGAGAAACTTTGTCGTGATGAGTTGGTTTAAATTATATTGCCTGCTATTTTCTTGGGATTATTTAGGAGAATAACCCTCTGACATAAAATGCATGACCTTTTGACATATTTTGAAGCATTCTTGTGTTACGAAGAGGCATTCTTAAATATAACAAAAGGTCACACATACAAAAAATACATGTAAGAAGGCCTAAATAACCGGAGAATAACCTTCTAACACACACACACGCATATATTTTAAATGCATGACCTTTTGACATATTTTGAAGCATTCTTTGTTAGGAAGAGGCTTTTCTGTCAGGCAGAGTCGTTCTTAAATATAACAAAAGGTCATACAATAAAAAATATATATGTCAGACGATTAGTCTCCTAACTGATCCTATTTTCTTGTGTTTCGCCATTCGTGGAACTTGTAGGGTTGGGCGTAATCTAGAAGCTAAAGATGCTGCAAGAGGGGCATTGAAGTCCCCATGGTGGACTTTAGGTTGTCGATACCAGGTGTCATTATATCGCCTGCTACTTTCTCGTGCTTTACTTATGAAGTCCTCCATACTTCCTATTGTTGGAAAGTTTGATTGTAATTTTTGTTGATTTGATGCAGGAAGTTGCGGATATAGCCGAATGGGATGATGAACAAATTGAGTTTATAAAGGAAAAGGTATCAGAGGAGGTGAAGCAAGAAGATTTGAAGAAAGGGAAGGAAGCCGCTCAGGTAACAATATTTGTTAGCCATGATCGATAGTTTGCTGCTATGGAGATATTACTACAACTGAATGCCATTCGGTATTCACATATTAGGGGAATCTTTGGAACCAAAAGCATTAAATCAATACTGCGTAAGAGTCCCCCTTCTATTACAAACCCAATAATCCGTACAAATTTACAAACCAGTTTTCATGTTGAAAATATAGTGTTTCTACAGTGTTGTTTCATATGTGAAACATTCAAGACTGTTTTTTCTGCACACATAACACATCTGAACGTTTCACATATGAAACAACACCGTATAAACACTGCATTTTCACATGAAACAACACATGAAAACTGGTTTGTAAGTTTGTACAATTTATTGGGTTTGCAAATGATTATATGTCAGTAATAACTTGAAATTTTGGCTATGAAGGCAGTAAACTTGCAATAACAATAAAATCAAACCAAACATGCCCAGTGAATCCCAGTTGGAGATGGGGGCGGGATGTACGTATAACTATCTTCTACCCCAAAGAACACGGTTTGAAATGGTATTTTGAAGCATAGCATAAGATATGGTTGTGTGTATGTGTGTGTGGGGTGCAGATTTCATTAGATGAAGCTGCTTTTCTGTTGGACTTGGCATCGATTGAGGGGACATGGGATGAAGAATTGGAACGGATCGCTGAATGTTATAACGAGGGGGGGCTCCCGGAAATCGCCAAATTTCTCAAATATAGAGACTGATGAGTGAATACATTTTTGCATTGGAGGTTGGTTGGTTTACAAATGAATTGTCAAAATGTCATACAAAGAAAGCATATGTTTGATGTCGCTTTCTATATTTAGTATGTGAGGGATGTTGTATAACTTCAATTACATTTTCATTTTTGTGTCATTAGAATATCATTTCGACTTAGAATCACAATTGAGTTCCAATATTTGCTGCATTTTAATTCCAATATTAATTATAATATTAAAATATTTAATGCCTTATGTGGTTAAAAATAATTAAGATATTATTTTTCCCTTAAATATTGAGTTTTGAAATTCTCAAAAGGGCAAAATATCTCTAAATGTAATGAAGTTTGGTTTAGTTCGTATTTAATGTAAGGAAGTTTATTTTTCCTCAATTAATATAATAAAGTTATTAAATGGTCTTTAGTTTAACGATATGTGAGTCTTTGACCTCCTAATATAAGTCATGTTATACTGTTGAATAACAAGCCTTTAATTTTTCAAAAACACAGGTCTCTGCAAAGTCGCGAGACCATGTAATTTAAATGACAATGGGTTGCCTGAGATTCGAACCTGGAATTAGCCGGATGGAGGTCAAGGTTCAAACCTCACAAAAGATGAGGTGGGTGTGTGAGATTATTTGTTCTATTTACCGTATATAAATATATATACTTAAAAAAAAAAAACTTCAAGGTTTTCCTATTTCATACATAAATATTTTACCTACTATACGATATGTCACCAATGTTTATTGACATGACATTTTCCTTTTTCTTTTCTTTTTTAATTTCAAATCAATCTAATTTAAGTCATTTTAGTATTTTGCTTCTTGTGGACTCTCTCCTTCACGACCATAATCGACTACTAGTGGCTCACGATTTTGCTTGTATCACTCTTTCTCCATGGTCTCCTCCATTTTGCCTATGATTTTACTGTTTGTTCAAATCTGCTAACATTCCATTTTAATTTTTTTAAAATTACAGTTCATTTGACAGATTTCATTCTTTCAAAAAATATTTTGCAAACCAAACGCCTAGCATTAATTTAACCCTTCGATGAAAACCTGAAAACCTCTTTCTTTGATGAACGATGATGCTTCCTCTATCAATTCCTTGTCCAAAATATTCAACAAGCCATGAGTCACAATTATGAGAAGTAAAAACAGCTGAATTGTAAATATTATATGTTAATGAATGAAACGAATTTTTATCATTAAGAAATTTAATCATTATAATTTATTTTATTTTGTGAATTTGTTTAGAATTATTGTGTTTAAATTCATTTTTAAACTATAGTTGTGATTTTTTCGTCATTGTATTTTAATCATCAAAATCCTTATTAATGTTTATTTTAATTAGAGTAAATTGCGTTTTTCATCTCAGTGTTTTGTTAAAAAATATGATTTTCGTCCTTGTGATTTAGATATTACGGTTTTCATCCCTATAGTTTATAAGTTATTGCTATTTTCATTCTTATGATTTATAATTTATTGTTGTCTTAGTTCTTAGGTTTGCAGTTCTTTACTATTTCGGTCTCTTGTACTTAAAAAGGTAAGACTTAAATTAAGTTGAATTAGAATTTAAAAAAAAAAAAACATGTCAATAAATATTGGTGACATATAGGTTGGTAATTTGTTTAGGAGGTAAAATATGTATAAAACATAGAAAAAAATAGAAGTTTTTTTATATTAAATAGGAATTAAACCAAACTTTTTATTACAATTTCCCCCCCTCAAATAGAGAGGAAGTGTGTAGCAATTAGCATTTCTCGGTTTCTCCATAATAATTAGGGGGTGTTTGGGATTGCTTATTTGAAATAACTTATCATTTTCTACAAAAGCACTTATCAACTTATTATAAGTCAGAAGAGTTTAACTTCTTCAGAAACTCCTTATTACCGGTTTAACACCGATATAAGTTGTTTATCCAAACACTCAAAAATGCTTATTACCGATACCACACCGAAATAAGTCAATAAACTGTTTTTATAAGCAATCCCAAACACCCCCTTACTTTAGAAACGGATGATATTGATGTTATTCAAGAAATTTTAGAGATTATGAAAAAACTTTATTCTAATAATTATATGTTATTTTAAAATCTTTAGAAATTCTTGAAAAGTTTGCTTTAAAAAGCAATATTAAACTCTCTTTTTTTAAAAAGAGTGGGGCTGTTTGGCAATTGTTGAATGGTTTGGTGCAGAATGATTAAGTGGTCAGAATGATTATGAGGCTCTCATGATATAGAGCAAAATGAAATATAATTGTTTGGTAATTGTGTACAATGAAATCAGGGCTCTTAATGGTTAAGAGAGATCCATGATACAAAATCATTCAGAGGGTTTTAGAACCATTAAGAGGCAAACTTTTTTTTTGCCAAACAAGATTCACCTCTTAACGATTCAGATGTTGCCTCTTAATGGAACTATTAAGAGGTAAACAAACAACCCCTGAATGAATCACCAAATTTTAAAAAATATATCGTTAAAAATATTTTAGATTTGTACGATTTAAAATTAAATTTCATTTTAATACTTTGTTTAGTTTGAAAAAAGAAGTTGGATTTGAAATCGTGAGATGTCAATAAAATTCTACAATTGATAGATTTAGGATTCTCTTATGTAAAAGATCATAACATGAGTGATTCGGTAGGTTTTGATTCCTATATATCCACCCATGTAGGGCTGTAAATGAACCGAACGTTCAGCGAACCGTTCGTGAACCGTTCGGCGGGAAGTTCGTTTATGTTCGTTTATTTAATAAATGAACGAACATGAACAAAAATTTTTGTTCGTTTAGTTAAACGAACGAACATGAACAAGAGCCTCGTTCGTTCATTTATGTTCGTGAACGTTCGTTCATTTACCGTTCGTTTACGTTCGTTTATATTCGTTCGTTTATGTTCGTTTATATATTAAATTTAATATATAATCTTTTATTTATTTACTTTGAATTCAAATAATATTTATTTATGTTCGTTTAACCCGTTCGTTTATGTTCGTTCATTTACGTTCGTTTAGTATGTTAACGAACGAACATAAACGAACACGAACACACCTGATTTTTAAACGAACGAACATGAACACAAATATTTTCGTTCGTTTACCGTTCGTGTTCGTTCGTTTGTTCGGTTAAATTAAACGAACGAACATGAACAAGCCTTCGTTCGTGTTCGTTCGGTTCGTTTACAGCCCTACACCCATGTGGTACTTCATTACACCATATATATATATATATATATATATATATAGAAGATCCATCTGTATAAATATCACCATCTATATCGAGAAAGTTGTATGCCTTGGAAAAGAGATTTTGATTGATAAAAAATAAGAATTTACTTCAACCGATATGCCTTTAGGCACAACGATACATTGCATAGAAATCATACTTGGAAAGGGTGGACAATTAGCTAAAGCAATGGGTGCTGTAGCGAAATTGATTGCAAAAGAAGGGAAATCGGCCACATTAAAATTACCTTCTGGAAAGGTCCGTTTGATATCCAAAAACTGCTCAGCAACAGTCGAACGGGCCTCGTTTTGTTTGTGGGGTTGGATTGTATTTGGAGGGATTTGAAATTGAATTTCATTGATTTTCATGTTTTACTAGATTTGAAATCCCAATATTTCATTGAAATCCTACAAACATAGATTTTTGAAATTTCATTTATGAGTTTGTTTTACTAGATTTGAAATCCCAATATTGGGATTTTTGAAATCCCAATATTTCATGTTTCATGGTATTTCATAAGATTTGTATATAATAATGGTTTAAAATATGTCAAAACATTTGTTTTGTAATAATGAATTAATAAAAAATGATTTAAATATTTTTATAATTATTTATAAAAAGAATTACAATTTTTTTATAAATAATGGAATTCAATTCCATTACAAATCCCACAAACCAAACACATCAAGAATTCCAAATCCCTCAAAACCAATCCTTCAAACCAAAACCAGACCTTATAAAATCGGTTGTCATTTCAAATTCAAATCTCATAGATTTCAATTGTTTCCATCATATCTCTACCTTATCTTTTTCATTAAATCTCCCCTAATTTCTCCATCAAGCTTGGTATGTTATCGAAACAAAAAACAAACAAATATTTAAAAAAAAAAAAATTAAACTCCATTCCAAATCATACAAACCAAACCTACCAAAAAAATTCAAAATTTTCCACAATATCCAAATCCCTCAAAATCATTCCATCAATCCAAACCACCATTCGTAAATTCCATTTCTTCAAGTAACAATTATATATACATACATCACAAAAATCCATCTCTCAGGACTTGGAATAAAAACAAAATCACAATAAACCCCAAACTCCAAACCCCAACCAAGAAAAAGGAACACAACTATTCTTACAATCAATACTTGACATGATCTAATATTTCAGTTATTATCATTATTATTTATTATTATTATTATAATATTATAATTTTGAGATATACATATTACTCATCAACTATATATACTTTCTTGTTTACTTGTTACTCTTTTTCCTTCTCCACAGCAGTTTCCTCAGCATTCCACCTTTCTTCTTCTTATTTGGAACAACAGACAAGAAATTTACCAGAGCTTCTTCTTCTTCTTGATGTTTGATTCCATTTACACTTAAAAACCTCTGTGGAGCTTTCACATTTTTTGAGTTATTACCATCCATCACGATGGCCGGTGATGTTATGGTTCGAGTAATCTCTTTAGGCTTTGTGGGTTGTTGAGCACCTGCTGCATCCTCGGCCATCATTTTGTCGAGCAGAGAGATTCGTTGATGGTTTGTTTTGTTGTTGGGTACGGGTGATGATGACGGAGCTACGAAAGTTGGGTTGCAGATAACGCGATCGGGGACGGATGCGTTTCTTGGAGAAGCCAATGCCTTCAACTGTTTTCCAAGGTTTAAAATGGTTTCTTGGCATTCCGCTAACTTTTCCGAAGCTGCTATTATTTCGCGTTCCTGCAAGTAACATGATTGTAACAAACACCAAACTCAACTCGAGGAATGGATACATACAAAACCAAACCGAACCCAGTAAATCCGACGCAGAGGTAGGGTTTGGGTGGATTATTTGGTTAAATAACCTTTTGACAATTTTCTTTTAAATCCATGACCTTATGACAGATTTGAGAACGCTGGTTGCTTAAAGAAAAATGCCACTTCCATATATAAGAATGCCACTAAACTTGTCAGAAGATTATGTTGCGAAATAAATTCTCATTTAAGGTCAATAGCCTAAATAGTCAGGTCTCGGAAAAGTAGGATGGGTCCTTTGGTTAAATAACCATCTAACGTTTTTTTTTTTAAATCCATGACCTTCCGAAAGATTTGAGAATGTCAATGCTTAAAAAAAGAATATCACTTCTATATACAAGAATGCCACTAAGTTTTTCAGAAGGTTATGTTGCGAAATAAATTCTTATTTAAGGTTACTAGCCTCCGGTCAGGGGAGAGTAGGAGGGTCCTTTGGCTTTGGTTATATGACCTTCTGACAAGTTTTTTTTTCCTTGTGAATTCATGACCTTCTAAACGGTTTGAGAATGTCTTCTTCTTTCATACACAAGAATGTGTGGAAACTTGTCAGAAGGTCTGTGGATTTGTAAAAACACTTGTCAGGAGTTCATTTAGCTAAATAACCCAGAGTGGGGGGTAGAATGTATGCATATCTTTCCTCTACCCCTAGGTTTCCGTGAAGACGGTGGCTTGCAAAACAAAAAAGAACAAGAGGGCAAGCTACAGGTGCGGGTGTGTACAAATAAGAGATATTTAGGTATATAACCTTAAACGAGATTTTAGTTAAATCCATGACCTTCTGATGAGCATAAAGCCGTTTCTCCTTTAATAGACCAGGAGGTAAATGAATTTAATTAAAAACTCATTTAAGGTCAAATCTCCAAAATGGCCGAGTGACATAATAAAGAATGGGAACTCACACTTTGAAGCTTCTTTTCATCATCGTTCAACTCGCAATTTTGTATACCCTTTTCTGTCATGCTGAAATAATAACAATAAAGTTACCGAGATCAAAATTGTGTTCGTCATCGAACATTTTCATCATATTTGGTCCTAACAAAATGAAAAATGGAGGGAACACGTGTAAATCCTATGAAACACGAGATTCCATAAGATTGCGTTTGGTAAGCAGGCGGAAGTGCGAAAGTGGACATAATTAGACGGGACTGGACGGGTAAAAGTGAGGTGGGTTGAAAAGAGTTGTGAGAAGTTTTAAGATTTTAATTTGACATGGGTAGTTTAGTAATTTATCAGTCTTTGACTCGTCTAATTTTTAGGGTTTTAATTTAACATGGGTTGTTTGGTAATTTATGAATCTTTGTCTCATCTAATTTTTGTTCCACCTATTTTGGTCAGACAATGAAAACAATACATGTTTTCCCACTTAGACCCTATCGGGTCCCAATCTAATGTCACACCGAACACGAGACAATTGTTCAGCCGTGTCGCCATATACCAAACGCACCCAATAAATCAAAACTTTTGAAGTTTAAACAGCCTTTGATCCAAGCTGTCGAGGTAGAGTCTGAAAATGATGTCAGAAAAACCATAGAATTTTCTAAGGAATCAAAGAGAAAGATATTACCTCTCTGGCAGGACGTATTCATCGAGATTTCTGGACTCTGGTCCTTCACTAGAGCATCTGTTGTGATCTCGCTGCTCCTGATCAATTGATGTAGATAATTCACGAACCTCACTATACTCACCGATGGCCTCGATAAGTTGTTCATCAAGATCTTCTTTACCCTTCATTTCTCCTTCTATTTGATCTTCGATCATATCCTTCTGTTGCTTTAGAGATTCTACCTCCGTTTGCAGACTTTCAATCGTTCTCTCTGATTCTTGAAGTTGAATAACCAAAGACTCGTTCTTAGAAATTTCTGATTGCAGTTTACGTTCCAAATCCATTTTTGCAGATTCCATACTTTCCAGATCATCTTTCAGTTTCTTACTTTCTTCCCTTGATTGCAACTTATAGGTTTCCGACATACGAACTTCACTCTCGCTGCGTGTTTCATCCCAATCAAAGTGTTTATCCATTTCATTCCTCATGCTCGAGACATCTTGAAGCGAAAAACAGTGGTTCACGATCCATTCTAGTGTTGAGGTCAGCTCTTTAGCAAAATTCTCCATTTCTGCCTTCCCGTTTAGCAAATTAGTACAGCTTTGAAGAAAAGTCTCCAAAATTGCACCGAGCTCAGAAGTCTTCCATTGGAGGACACGGACCGTGTAGCCTGTGGGTGTTTCTGAAGTTTTATATGGAGACGAACTATCTTCCTTCCCAGATAATCTGATGCCTTCAATAAGTTCAATTAGCCTCTCCATTGATCTGTTCATATCAGAATCGAACACTTCGTTGCTCAGTTTGGTCAATGAGGTTTCAACTAAAGATTTTTCCAGGGCTTGATTTTCGTCACTTTTTTGTGTCAGAGCTGCTGTGATATCTGCCACTATGTCACTACATTGTCTTTGTGTTATTCTAGAATGATCCGAGATGACTTTCAGTATATTCTCGAGCCAATCTGAGTGATTTTCCAAAACAAGATTAGTAGTACTTGTAAATGGCTTGTCAACTGAAACTATTGCCAACTTTTCCATCTCGACAAAATCGTCCATCAGACCGATATCTGAAGCTCCAACAGTTTTGCAAGATGGTGCCCAAGATTCAGCCATACTAGCCTTTTCGTCACTACCTATGTCTGAGGATGAAGCAGGAATTGAAAATTGAATTTTCGACGGTTCATTTGTTTTTCGGTTAAGGAATTCCTTGAGAACTCTGTTCTCTTCTTCAAGTGCACACAACTGCTCGGTTAAAAAGTTAATCTGTTTTCCAGATGTGTCAAAGGAAGAATCCTTTAAAGCAATGGGAAAAGGGTTTGACCTTCTTCTCGTGGTTTCAATCGGATCTTTTCCCAGCATTTCAACTTCATTCTTCATCTTTGCGAGGGCAGCAGGGCCGGGCAGCCGTTTTCTAACAAGCAAACGTAGCCTTTGTGCCTCCGTTTCCAGCTTTGCGATCTTCTTGACACTCTCGAGATATTGTTTATGTGCCACTTCTGCTGTTCGTCGATTGAAATCTCTCTCTTCATTCCTGATCTCAAGCTCCTTCTCGAGCACTCGGACCTCATAACTTAAAGAAGCATTGTCTCTTTGCGTTGTCTCCAATCTACTCATAATGGCACTTAGATCAGAATCCACCTGAGCGCTGGCTGCGTGTAATTCAGCAATCATTTTTTCCTTTGCTAAAAGAGCCTTGGTCAATTGGGTATTCTCGGAACTTAGTTTGGAAAGTCTTTTATTGGACTCCGATAATTTTTCCTCTATATGTATTCTTGCTTTTTCGTATTCTCTTGACGTCTTCATAACAGCATCATGAATCCTTTTTTCTTGCTCTTCACGAACAAAACGTAGCTGCTGCATACACTCCTTCAAGGCTGCATCAACACCGTGTAGTCTTTCCTCACTCGCTACTGCCTGCTGTGTAGTTTTCTCTAGTTCTTGCTTTAGTGCTAAAACTTCCGCTTCTGCCTTCTCCCATCCTGTATAGTAGCGATAGTTTGAGCAAAAATAAGCAAATTGTGAGAATATGTAGAATCCCATTAGATTACTCTCCAAAAGAGCCCTTAACAAGAGAAGGAATGTTTCAACAAACATTAAGTAGAACTGTACCAAGTCTAGCCGATGTGGGACTCTAAAACGCGAAACGCCCCCTATAATAGTGGCTAAACGGGCACAAATTGCCCAGAACGTCGCAAGGGGGCTAGACGAGTAGAGATTGACCCAGAGTGTCGAATCCCTGGAGTGGTAGACCTTGCTTTGATTCCAGAATATATGGAACCCATTAGATTACTCTCCAAAAGAGTCATTAAAGAGAGAAGGGAGGTTTCAACGTATATAGAGTAGAAACGGTCCAAGTCTAGCTGATGCAGAACTCTAAAAACGCCCCCTCCAATAGAGTCTAGAGGAGCACAAATTGGCTAGAACGTCAGGGGGCTAGACGAGTAGAGATCACCCTAGAGTGTCGAGTCCCCAGAGTGGTAGACCTTGGCTCTGATTCTATGCAAGAAGCCAAGAATACATGGAACCATAAGCTTACTCTCCAAAAGAGCTCTTGAAGAGAGAGAAGGGAGTTTCAACATATATTGAGAAGAAATGGTCCAAGTCTAGCTGATATGGGACTATAAAAAACAAAAAAAAGCACAAGCATGTGATCTAAGAGACATTTGAATGGTTGAAACATCCACGGATTTGGCTTCAGATTTACGAGAGCACAAAAGGATGCAATTCATGTTCCAAAGCCTTGACTCTTGATTATTTCATATAGTTAAAAATAAAAGGTTTTCGTGTTGTCATTTGATAGCCGCATAAAGACAATGTATCACAAATAAATAGAAACAAAAGCTAAAGTAGTTGAAGATGTGATCAAAACTAAAAGACATGGGGATGATAAAATCAACCCGGGTTGAAATCCTGCCATCTATGTATACACTTGTGGCCAATGAGAGATTTAACTCAGGGTTGCAGGCAAAGCCTACAGTCGCAATTTGCCATGGGATAAGTCTACACGAAGCCTGGAATCACCCATTTCCACTAAAGACAAATGCCAGTTCCTAAAGCTTAGGAGTGTCGGATGACCAATCCCATATGGAGAGAAATGTAGTTGGATAAACACAAAATTGTAAATGACCTTGAATGGCTTCTCGTGCAATGTTTGTTTGCTTCTTTGCAATGTCATCTTTAGCATTAATCTCAGCAAGTGCCGCCGAAAGATTCTCATTTGAAACATTCAAATTCCTCTCCAGTTCGGCTTCATAAGCTAAAATACCCTGCAACTACAAATGAGAAGATCGTTAGAATTGTGTGTGGATGGTAATTTAGGACGTGATGTGATAATGGCATCCATATGAATATGCTTGTCACCCAGGAATAAGTCCCGAGTAGGATCCCTTGCACCCGCTCAACCAATTATCGCACGTGGGACCCTTTTTTGGTATGTAAGGTACACCCGCTAAACTTTGAGGGGGTGCTCTGAGATATTAGAAAATACGAGAAACATCAACCAAAAAACCGAAAAGAGTCCCTCGAAATCAACCAAAAAAGCCGAAAAAATACCTCTAAAACAACCAAAAATTTTACAAAATCTCTCCAAATCAACCAAAAAACTTAAAAAATCACTGAAAAGATGCAATTCAGCTAAAAGCACATCCAGCGACTTTGTGGTCCTTTTACCCACCTTAAAGGTGCACCCGCTCGGCAAAAAACCTGGGTTTGCGGCTGTTGTAAACAGTGTTAAATTTTATACAAAACCAACAAATTCCAGAAAAAAACCAAGAAAGCCTACTTTACAGGTAGTTTTATGCTGCTAGTTAAAATCTTGGTGCATATTACCAATTAGTCCAACTTACTTCCTAAGAGTCTGTGATGCCAGATATCATAGAAATCTGTCCCAAAAAACATTAAAAAAAATTGAGTCCTCGATTCCCAGCAAAAAAATGCAGCTCGTTTAGGTATATAACCTCAAATGAGATTTTAATAAAATCCATAACCTCCAGGTCTATTAAAGAAAAAATGGTTTCATACTCATCTGGGGGTCATGGATTAAATTAAAATCTCACTTGAGGTTCTAAATATACAAAAAAGGCACTTTCAGATTTTGAGGTCAAAAGAATATAATTTGATACTTGAAACTTAAAGACCAATTATTTTCATATATGAGAAACAATAACACTAAGTTAAGTGTCATACAAGCTATGCTGTTACAGCGGTCAAAATTTGAAATTGCGGTCAGAACCGTGATTTGATATAGCGGTTATCACGATGGTAAAGCGGTGATATAACGGTCCACATAGAGCAGTTCATGTAATCATTACAATTATAGATAAATGTATGAATAGATGCATAACATAATATATATTTTGAAAATGAACATAAGAACAGGTGAATAGAAGAGATGAGAAATCGGTGTTGGAAGACAACGTTGTTGTGAAGAGAAGATGCAAAATATAGATTGAAATAGAAGAGAGAAATAGCGAGCTTACACACCAATATTGCAAATGAAAATCAGCCCCCTAGCTCGTAATCCCTTAATCGACTTCTCTAAACCCTTTAAAAGGCCAACTGAAAGCCCAACTCCTAATTGTGGTTTTCACACCGCTATTGCAAGTCAAAATGCGGCCCAATTGCGGTGATTAGCGCCGCTATTAGCGAAACCACTATTTCTCACCGCTATTTCTTCTAGGACCGCTAACCGCTATAGCACCGCAATTAACAACATAGCATACAAGTAAAGATATGTTAGCATTAAAAGCTAAAGCATTTCCATCTAAGTATTGAATTATGTGGTTAAAGGTAACTTCGGGATTATTTGGTGCAGAATGATTAAGTGGCCTGAATAATTAAGAGGCTATGTATGATTCAGTGCTAGATAGAAAATGATTGTTAGGATTGTTATGAATCAACAGTCTGAATGACGTAAAATTACCATTTTACCCCCATTCTTGTGTTGAATAAAACTTAACGTTTGCAATAGAGGCGGAAAATAAGATGGACAAGCAAGAGGAAGAAGCTTTATCTACCTCATCTTCATTCCCTCTATTCACCTTGTCAGCTGCAATCATTGTCTTCTCAATCGATTTTTTCTTCCAAAGCCATGACTTGTGTTCCATCATTTGAGCAACGCTAAACAATGTGTGGATAACTTAAATCACATAGGGATCTGCCACAGTAAAGAAGGAACACTCGTTATAAACCTCTTTTAAGAATCTAAGAGCATCTCCAAGGGAGGTTCTTATAAGAACCCATTTTTTGTATCTTTTCTTGCCACATCATTCAGAACTCACCAAATTAAAAATATACATACAACTCCACGATACTACTTCTTATAAGAACCCCTTTTGTGGGTCCCATGTATTTTTTTCGACATCAATAATTATATAAAAGAAACTATTAAGATGTCATTTCACACAAACATCAAGGTAAGAACCAAGATTCTTGTACAAGAACTCCAAGGATGTGAATGTCTTATAAGATATCTCTGCAATGATAGTTCTTATAAGAACCTACACTTTTTGCTTATAAGGACCTCCAATTGGAGATGCTCTAAGCTAGCGAAGGTGAGAATAATGCATGACTTGCTGCCCCGGAGACAAAAAACAATTAGACAAACTCAGAGTCAAATAATGCAGAAATTGCAGGATAATTCTTATCTGTTATTTGGACTACCTCTTGACACTTTTTCTCCAGTTACATTCTCAATTATTTAGCCGGTCTGAATTTCTTCTTTTTCTGACTATCCTCTATGTGAAGTCTCTTTCACATAGATAAAAGCTAACATGTTTCTGCACTGCAGGGCTCATAAGATGCATCGGTCCTCGTCTATTTGTCACAGCTATTTAATCTTGATTAATCACTAAAGCTTAGAGCTAAAGGAAGTAGATGTCATAAATGTATAATGACAGATCTGCCTTATATCAAAGTCATCAAGTGGTGAATGAGTTTTTTTCTTTGATAGTTTGAAATTTCATTGCTATTTTGTAGATTTTATTTTATTTAACCCTGTAATATAGTGGTGTTACTTTTTTGGTTTATTGAGAATAATAAATTATCATGAATTATTCTTTGTACCTGATTTCGTGGAATTTTGATATGTTAGCAACACGTCTTGACTAATTTATGGACTCGTTTAGCCTAATCAAGCTTTTATTACTAGAAAGATGTGAAAAGATCCTTGTGGGTGGATCATGTTCGCTGAAACTTGTCTTACGTCATATTAACATTGTTGTTAATACTCACCTTCAAGCATAGCATCATCGAGCTGTCAAGCTATTGAGTTGTAGACAATCACTTGTTAATCATGTTGTTGACGAGTTAATTGTAATATGCGCAATGCTTACCAAAACTTCGAACAATAAATAGAAATGCATTTATATGTAAGTTGGTATTTACTGGTTTGCATTGCATCGTAAGGTTATACACTGCAATAACTCCAAATCATCTCTTATAAGCTTATGACTTATGAGCTTCTCTTTTTTACCATTAGTGGGTTCATTTTCCTCAAAAGTAGCCCTCTATCTTGATAAATCTAACATCAACAAGTTTTACCTGTTGCATCAAAGTCACCTTCAATCTAATATTATTATTCATATATGCGTATAAAATAGAGTAGCAAATTCACATAAGACTAACAAAAAAGATCATTAATAGTACTTCAAAACATTTTGTCAAGTTACAAGCCTACACCAGGGGAAAGGGGCTGCAAAGTGGGACCATATCCCAAGTGCTAGTTAGTACCTTGTTTGAATAATAGGGCTTCTTAGTTCAATTAACAGCAAAAATGATCCTTTTTTTCTTCTGTAGAGTTAGGAAATCACACATGAGGAAGTGAAACTTTTGTTGATTGTCCATCTGACTCACCCGTGGTAATTCACAAGCATGGAACATGTTATCCATTTCTCTCAGTGAGAATATCTGAAATCTTTTGTTCTCAAACAGTAATTTCAATATATATAATTCATTTCAGGGGCATAAGTCAAAGAGAGAGAGCTACTTTGAGGAAAATTAACTCACTAATGGTCAAAAAGAGAAGCACATAAGTCACAATAGATAATTTGGAGTTATCGTAGGATATAACTTTACAAAGCAATGCAAACCAATAAATACTAATTTTCATATAAATGTATTTATGTTTTAGTATTAGAATTTATAGTAAGCTCTCAACATTATCAGCAGATGCTTGTCTACAAGACTGCTACTCAATAGCTTGACAGCCGGGTGACACTTGAAGGGGAGTGTTAACAAATAAAAACAGTGATAATATGATACGCCCACACGGATCTTTCCACATCTCCCTAGTAATAAAAGCTCGATTAGGTCAAATGAGTCCATAAATTAATCAAGACGTGTTGCTAACAGATTAAAATTCCAAGAAATCAGACAAAAAGAGTAAATTCATGATAATTCATTTTTCTGAAAAAATCTAAAAAAAAATAACACTACTACACTACGGGGAAAAAACATCAAATCTACAAAATAGCAACCGAATTTCAAACTAACAAAGTAAAATCAATAAAATGGACGCAGAAAATATCAAAAAAAAAAAAAAAAAACCATTAATCATCCCAACTACAACAACAATAACAAAAAAAAACACTTTTTTGCGCGGTGCATTTTCATCGATCATCGTTTCCGTATAAATGAAACTAAAACTCAAATCTGAACTACAAAGAACAGCAAGCAGAAACGAATCGAAAGAAGAGCATGCACAAATCACAATGAAGTATTGGAAATACGAAGACCTCATTCGTATTGTAAACATAATAAAATATGAGTTACGATCTTACCGACAGTCGACGGTGCACCGACGGGAGCATTAACCGGCGACAAATAAAATCAGAGCGGAAATAGTGGAGAAGAAGTGGAAGCACCAGTGGGAGCTGGTTTCTAGAGAGAGAAAGAGAGTAAATGTAGTTTGCAAGTTGTACGATATATAACACAGTTTGGAGAGAGAGATTTGCAAATCGAGTGGAATCTGACAGGTACGTGATGGAGTCGGGCCGGGTAGGGCCGGGTCAAATCGGGTCAGATCCCTATGTGGCACTCATTATTTTTATAAATGGAAAAAAATTTATAGTTCCCAACTCCCAAGGGGGAGGGGTTTTGCGCATATATCCTCCATTTTTAAATTATTTATTACAAAATAATTATGTTATTTTTTTTATTAACCTGAATATCCAACTCGTTATGCGAGTCGATTAATCTTAGAACGATCACATGCTTTGCAGATAACCCGGAGTCACCGTATCTGAACCTCCGTGGCCACAAGAGAATTTTTATTCCTCCTTGGATTTGAACCTGAAATCTCCTATTACTTTTGACCTTTGGAGTCAAGCTCAAACCAATCAGACACTACCCTTGTGGTTTAAAAGTTTAATTATGTTATTTTTAGGAAGAAAGGTTTGGTGTTTGTTTTATTTTTTATCTATTAAGTTGACTTTAAGTATTAATTTGTTTGGATAAATTAATTGGATGTTTGGTAGTTGCTTAATGGTTTAGTGTAGAATGATTAAGTGGTCAAAATGATTAAGAATCTCTCATAATAGTGCAAAATGAAAAATAGGACAATGGTAATTTTGGAAAACGTTCCCACTTAAAGCATTAAGATAGGATATGCTTACTTAACCTGTTAAGTCATTCCAGATTTTCCCCATATATTTTCAAAATAACACAAATCTTTTACTCATTTTAAATATTTCAAAACTATAACTAAATTACTATTATTATTGTTTCAAAAGGCCAACAAAATGTTATAAGAAAAAAAACAGTTCGACAAAAGATTATGTAAGCTACAGAACCAACCCGAAACGCAATCTTGAAAATGAATTGATCGAAACCAAACAAAAAGAATCAAATCAACCCTTGAAATTAGGTACTCCTACCAAAATTAAGGGGGTGTTTGGGATTGCTTATAAAAACAACTTATTCACTTATTCCAGTGTGACAACGGTAATAAACATTTTTGAGTGTTTGGATAAACAACTTATACCGGTGTTAAACCGGTAATAAGAAATTTTTTAAGAAGTTAAACAATTCTAACTTATAATAAGTTGATAATCATTTTTGTTATTAAACATAACTTATTTCAAATAAGCAATCCCAAACAGCCCCTAAGTAGTCTTCATAGTACCCTTTGTGTTTCTAGCCTAACTAAAAATTACGAGATTGAGATAAGAAAGTTGGATTTACGATTCATAGCTTCCACATAACAGATCGTTTTCGGATTCTTCTTGAGATCCACTTTCACAAACGAACTCAAATTCCTGCAACGTTTAGCACCGTGTCTTTCCTGACTGTCAGATCTCGAGACAGGTATTACGTCGTTTATTTTGCTATTTTGTCGGTGTCAAACCAGCAAACTTGGTAGATTAAAAAGTATTTATGTAACAAAAACATGATATTATATTTATAAACATAAACATAAACGTGTTAACATTGTTTTTAAGTATCTGATTTTTAATTAAAATATTATAACGTATAAAATAAATAATAGAGTGCAAAACTTAGGTGAAAATTAATATTTGTATAATAAAAATGAAAAATGAAAAATGAAAAATAAAAAAATAAAAAATAAAAAACAATGATTAATAATTTAATATCTGAATTAATGAGCAATAAATACTTTTGAGAAGAAGGGCGGCTACCTCAACCGGACGGCCATCGGAACTTGTGGGTGGGAGCATCAAATCGCGGAGTTGTGTCGGTTTCTATTGACTCAACGAGAGTCATGATTCATGTGTTGACCCCCTTACTTTACTATACTCCCAGTCTCCCACACCCTCATTAATCTCACTTTTTGTTTACTATTATTTTAGTAATTATAAATTTGGTCTATCTCGTCTATTGAAATTAGAAGGGTATTCGTATAATGTATTGAGATACATCTTGATTTTAATATTTTATTATATTATTTATCTCAGTTGATGTTATAATATGGTCTTATGTGATTTTGAAAAAACGATAATGTTTTATTTTTTAATAAAATGTAAATTTGAAGATATCATAAAAACTTGACAAAAATATATCGATATTAGTATCAAATTAACTATTTAAAATTTCTCATTTTTTTGTGTAATTTTTTATTCAATTTTTTTATTATAATTTAATTTAGGTTCAATAACAAATTAATTTATATTTGGTTTAATAATATAATTTTCTTATAAAGATAATAATTAAATATTTTGTTAGAAGTCAGATAATTATCCTAATTATATTTTAGATTTTTTATATTTTAAAATAAGATGTTTATCCTTTATTTGATTATGTTCATCCACAGTTAGTTACACGAATTCAAACATTAAATTTTAATAAGTTGTACTTATGCATAATTTATTTGTAATCTTGAATTTTAAGTAATATGCATTAATCTACAGTACTTCATGCATAAAATATGGTTTTTAAGAGTTTCTGACAAATGTTTTATAATATAGTATAGAATAACAGTTTTCATTTTTATAGTTTGAATTTAAAAGTATAAGATGATTATTATGGTTTATAAAAAAACATTTTGACTGCAGTTAAATGAGAGGTATTTTTGTCATTTTATCGAACTTTTGTTTTTTACTCAATTAAAATCGGTTTTATGATTTTGATCCTTATAGTTTTTGCTTGGGTAAAAGACAAAAAAATTAGCCAAAAGAATGAAAATGCTTCTTAGTTAATGGAATTTCTTAATGGCCAGTAAAAGAGAGATCAAATAAGGACGCCTTTGCAAAAACGACGATAATCATGTTGTAATTTTGAAATTGGAGATAGATCCCTTTGTCTCACAAATTCTTTATATTATTCTCTAAAAAAAATAAAACAGTAAAAAAAAACTCAAAATTTAAATAATTCTCTAAAATTTAGGGGGTGTTTGATTAGATATATTAAACAGTCATTAATGAAATTGAAAATAAAAATTTGTTTAGTTTTATATAATATAATGAACACATTTTCCTACAAAGCCCAATTTTTCATTATTGATTAAACTGCGGATGATGAAAATTCATTCTTATTTTCATTTCCCGTCATTTCCAGTTTTATTCTCCTAAATTAACCAAACAACCCTTAATGTGAGAATAAATAAATGATTTTTATATTATTTGTTAATGAGATTGAATTATTATTATTTTATATAATTTTTTTAAATATGTACTAGACGATAAAGTTATAAAATATTTTAATTATGTAATTGTTGTTGAAATCTATTAAATAAACAGTTTGTTGGAGTTGAATGTAATTTATTTTAGATATTTTAACTTTTAGTTATCTATTTTAGATAAATTGTATAAAGTATATCGTAATTTGTAATTATATATGCATTTTCATTTTTTAATGAATCATTTTTGTTTGTCAAATGATTAGTTTGATTTGTATGAATGAGATTCTTTGTATGAATCTTGTATAGTATTTAATTCAATAATTGTTGATGAGACGATTGATCATTGTTTCATTAATCGCTCACCCTTATTTCAATTGCCTTTATTGTTTTGATAATTATTATTGACCATTGTTTCATCAATTGTTTGTCGCCATTTTAATTGTCTTTATTATTAACTATTGTTTCATCAATTGTTCGTCGCCTTTTTAATTGTTTGTCGCCTTTTTAATTGTCTTTATTATTGACTATTGTTTCATCAATAGTTCGTCGTCGTGTCGATGTGTGGAATAGTGTATGTAGTGGCGGGGGTGGCATCTTACGTCACCGATCTCAGTTGAGAGTTTATTGACTTTACTGTACAGACTCTCACATTATTCCATCTTTTAGGCGGCGACTTATTTGGAAGACAGTAATCTGGATAACTCTTTATTCAATTTAGAGTTATCATAACAATCAACCCATTTCGTGTTAGACAATCCAACAAGTGGATCGACTTTATGCTCTTCAAATTGGGTTGAATTCCAGTGATAATGGAAGTTATGATGAGAAATATAAGAAATGATCTCCACCATTGGATCAATCATAATTGAAAAACAACATTAATGAGATGCATCAGATCAATTATAGTGAGAAGCACATATCAAGGGTTGGAGGTGAAATTAATAAAAGGTCTAGATCCCTTCGTACGCTTCTCACTTTAACGTTCACTCCACGCGATCCTCGTCTCAACTTCTTTCCTTCCATTGAATCTCAAAACGTGCAAAGAGCTATAACATGTTGTGGACGAAGTGATGTGAGGTCAAGTTGGATGGTTAGTTTTTAGTCGGGATCAATTCTCACGAAAAGCATAATTTATGGGATGGGGTGAGATTAAAAGTGATCAACGGTCCAGTTTCCTTCATACGCTTCTCAACTTAACTTATATTTTCACACGATCCTTCGTATCGACTTCTTTCCTTCCAATGAATCTCAAACATGCAAAGAACTATAATATATCATGGACGGAGTGGTGCGGGGTCAAGGGCTGGATGGTTAGTTCTTAGTCAAGTTCAGTGTTTGCGAGGCCATATTCTTACTGGCTCGACTCTTCGTCTTTCCGTTTTTCTCCTTCTCATTAGTTTTTCTTATTGTTGTTTATTGGTTATTTCTATCTCTTGTAGAATATGTTGTCTTCAAATAAAACTTAGGAGCCGTTTACCAGACAATTATCCGATAGTTGTTTATCGATAAAACTTAACACTATTATTTACTTACGGTGTAAGATTTTAATCAACCAAAACGACATCATATGCAACAATTTACCCGGTAAGCGCTTATCGTGGTAAGAGTCGTCGCCCTCACTTATCAGGTAAGACTCTTGGTCCTTGTCTCGCTCTTACCGGGTAAGATTTTCGGTTCTTACCATATTCATCCGATAAGGTAATGTTATTTGATAAACGTTTACCCGGGTAAACGTTTGGTAAATGACCCCTTACACTCTCTTTTTTACTCTTGTTTCTTGGTT